ATGCGAAGGAGACGCCAAACCCTGTGTCGCGCGGTCGCATGGTCGAAGGACTGAAGCCGGCTCCCTGTCGTCTGGGCCTCTCAATCAGAAGTTACCTTCGTCTTCTCAAGCACACACCGTGGAAGCGGCCAAGTGCGCATCGGAGTCTCCTTGCAAGGCACTTTCCGGAAATTTCGCTGACCAGGTCATGGGCTGGAGCTTCCTCCGCTTGCAAGTAGCAGCTGTGTCCATGCCGGCTGGAGACTAAAGGTCAGCAACAAACAAGAAGGGCCCCAGGTTGCAGAATCCTCGGTGCATGCCGTTCCTTGGCCCAGCCACATACACGAAATACAATTCTTCAGATGCTTCGCATTCAGTCCACCTTATACAAAATCCTGTTGGTGTGTGTGTGTTAAAATAGGGACACCCCCTGAAATGGTGGCTTTCCCTTTCGGTTCCCTTGTAAACCACCCCAAAACAGGGTACCCTCAGGCCCTCAAAAACACGTACATATATTTATATATTTGGATGTGAGTCTTGACAGGGCCCCCCGCCTCCTGCTTGACACAAACCCCCTAAATGATGTCCGCCAAAGGGTCTCCAATTAGAATTCATAGCAACATAGCATGGCTTGTTGATTCATTTGCACACACACACACACATATCCATGTTGACTTGTCTCAAAACAGAGGACAACCCACACCGAGTGAGTGGTGTTTCCAAACCCTTTCAGGACCACCCAAACCGAGTGAGTGGTGTTTCCAAATCCTTTCTAGTTCATATGAAACTGTTCTTGTTAGAAAACCGCTTCCGCGAACTTCTGTGGACACAAGCTTGCAGCATTGCTTCCGCGACCACAGTTTTAGCCTGGTTTACGAGTGTTACCGGCTCGTCATTCTCTACGCCAAGCAGTGGGCTACGACTTGTTGTTAAAGCACAAGCTGCGGAAAGTACAGCGCTTCGGCTTCCTCCGAGGTTGGGGAGCTGCTTGCAGAAAATGATGCGTTTGGTTTACAACTGGGCCTTGGGCCTTCAGTGCCCCTTCCGCAAAGCTGCGGCGCATCCGCGGAACTCCGCGTTGATTCTGTCTTTGGGTTCCCTCCAGCCTTCTTTAGCATGCGTCTGTTCATTCAACAAACGCTGCTTCATCGTTGGCACCCTTGTTATTTTGCTAGCCGAAACAACTGCGGTATCAGCACAAACACCTCTATGCACAAACCCTTCCGTGAAGCGTCCGCGAATGTGGCGCGGCGCGCATTTCCAAACAATCATCCCGTACCTCTACATACTGTGGGTGCACGCAATCCTGCACCACCTGAAACCCTGGAATGATGATTCCCCTGTAAATTCCCACAAACCCTGGTTTCCCATGGTTTCAAAGCGGTGCGATCGGATTTCGTCCATCCACATTGAGGATTCCCTTGCAACCCCGCCCAAAAATCATATTACTTCATATGAATTCCAAATCAGCAAACAAAAAGGCCCTCATGCCGCCCTCTGTGGCCCAAAAACCGGCAGCCGCAATAAAAAGACGCTCCCCATCTTCGAGGAGCCCCTTTGTCTCTTCCCGCCAAGGCACTGCCGGCCCGCGAGCCCTGCTCTGAGTCGCCGCCTGCTCGAAACTCAACCAGGATTTGGAAGACTTGGCCATGGGTCAAAACCCTGGTTCTCCCGAAGTGAACATCCCAATCCCAACTAAAATAGACCAAAATGAGTGGTGCACCTACCCCAAAATGGTACCATTGGTTTTGACCCACAGCCACTTGGTTCCATTTACAGAGGCCTTCTGGGAGCTTCCGTGTTTGTCTGAGGGAGCGTACCCTGGTAAGACTCGCACGAAAGAAGATTACGGAAGTGGGGCTCCGGAGTATCCTTGGCGTCTTGGTCACATAGGGGTTGTATGACCCTGTTGACCCTTGGGGTCAAAACAACATGGCCTTCCCAAAAAGGTGGAAAGTCAGGAGCTCGAGGAGTGAGTAGAAGCATCCAACCTGATCCGTCCGAGACCGGGCGGAAGGGAGGAGGCCCGCCTGCGATCTTGCCCAGCATGCTGCCCTCGGCACGGCCTGTCAAACGTGGTGAATTGGAACATAGTGAATTGGGACCTGCCGCCCTCAGACAAAAGGTTCAACCGACCGGGCCCTGCTTCCCCTTTAAAGGGGGACCAAGAAGGTCCGGAAGCGTCATCTCGCCAAAGAAACAGGCAGGTTCACATGGGCTTAAATCGCCCAAAGAGAACATAAGGACCCGTGTTCATGGTAACCCACCTCTAAAAACAAAAAAACTTGTGGAGGCCTTGCCGGCCGGACGACTACTTTCCTGAGCACCAAAAGGTTCAACATGTTTTGCCACTCCCCCAAAAAAAAGTTCAGGAATCCAGCACAGAGGATAGCTAGTGATATGACACTAACAAAGCCAGACTAGAGAAAAACAACTCGGTTGCCTTAACCGTAACCTTCGATATTTCTCACAAAGACCCCAAGTTCAGAACCTTCAGCGTTTCAATTGGTTTGACCCAGAAAGGTTGGCCTCGGCTTGTGAGTTGACTCGATACTACGGCAAAGCCTAGGCCAATGGTCATTTTGCTGATTCGATTTAGGGCCACTAGGTTCCATACATTTTGAGGGCGACCATCCGGTGCCGAAGCCGTTTTCCGTAAAAAGGACAACAGCGTGGTCGCCGCAGGTTGGGACCATCCACACGTGTTGCTGCCTTCAAGTCCAATGCCTGGATTAGATGCCCAGTTTGGGGCTTTGATTGAGCAACAAACATCATCCAACCAAAAAGAGGAAAACAGAACTGGGTGGAGAACAAGTATTGCAACCGTCCACATATATACATGTACATGTAGGTATTTTATCAGCATGTGTATTTTTTCACGTATTAATGTATGTCTTAACCAAGAATTGGACCTCTGAACATGGCGAGTCGATGTCCTTTGGCCATGTTCAAACCAATAAAGGGTATCCTCTAAGGCTGAACAGAAAGACACCCGTCCTTTGGTTCCCTATTTCCCCTTGGCACATCACTCCAGAAAAGGAATCTCATTAAGGGGAAATATAGGGCACCTACCCCCGCAACGGGATGTTTTCCATCGAAGGCCGGTCGCTTTACCCCAAAGTGCAGCCACTTTCGCGACATGCCGCGGTCGGTGCCCTTGTCAGGGCTTCCAGAGCATAGGCGTCCTTTTAGGGGAAATAGATGGGTTTCCCTGGTAGATGATTAAACCACCAGGTAAAGCAGGAATCGCCCTCTACTTTTCTACCAAAACAACCAAAAAAGGACACCTATGTTCTATGTTCTAGAGTGGTATCCTCGAGATGCAAACATCTCAAAACCACCTGCTTGGTGCTCGGGGCACCTCCAAAAATCAGCTGGCAAAGGTCAGGTTTTCAGGTTTGCCCTCTAGTGGAAGTGGTGCCCCGAGGTTTGCGCCAAAGACCAACCAGTTCGCCCTTCAAGACGAACTAACCGCCAAAGACCTTCAAAAGGGGAACTGTCCCTTCCGGTCAAACAAAGGGCTACTTATTATTAGGTTGCTCCCTGCACCCTCAAGCCTCAAACACCCCGCCCCATCATTTTGGGGGCAATCCCCCGGTTTTCGGGGATATTTTGAGGGCCCAAGTTGTAAGAATGTGTCACTTTAGACAACCCCAAGCCTTTTGCGAAGGGGAATCGCCCTAGGTACAACTCTGGAACCTTTGTCTCCGCCCGCCTGCGAGGGAGCTCTTGCCTGGCATCTCAAGCCGAATTGGAAGCTCGGTGGATCGAAGGCGCGACAGTCACATCAACGTGTTTCTTGACGTGTGCAGTGTTGTTTCCCGAAAATACGGCTTATCTTTGACCCCCTTTCAATGCAAGTATGCAGTCAAAGGCTGGATTTGTTTTTCTTTAAAAAAAGAAGAAGGAAGGTGTCCCGCAGAAGAAACATCGGACAAGTCGGTCCTGAGGCCTCCCTTTGGCTTCCCTTCAAACCCAAGAGGGGCACCGGTGCACGTCGCTTTTGCAGTCAGGACCCAGAACCTGCCAAGAGACCCGAAAGGATTGGGGCTTAAGCCGGGCTAGCCTGAACAGAGGCAGCAAGAATGCCAAAGGCTTTACTCCAGGGGTGGTAGGTCAAGGGAATTCCCACCTCAAATCGGCCCCCTGGTGAAAATGGATTGCATAGCGACATGACCATCACGTAGAGATAGGAACAAACAGTACAGGGAATATTTAGATCCAAAGCACCAAGAAACAGAAGCACCTAGACCACTCATGGCCCTTTTTTCTTCCCCAGCTCACGTGCCTGTTTCAAACGATTCAAGGCATGTTTTCAAGAGGAGACACTTCTCGACTCCAGAATGTCTCGCGAAACTCTAGGTGTCCACTCTAGTCACTACCCCCAAGGGAAAAGTTGGAGTTTCCAATCTTCATACAAGGGTTTGATAGTAGGTATCCATGCAATTAATGTGTTACAAAATGTGTTATGATAATATCATATGTTGTTCTGATATATCGTATCATATTGAATGCAATTCTCGACACCATTCTCCCTTTTGGGTACGGTTGGGTGAAAGTAGTTGGCATCACTTTACGTGCGCAGGTCGAGAAGATGAAACAACCCAAGACGGCCAGAAAACCTGCAGTGAGTGATGAGTCCCCCAGTTCTGGCGCGCCCATTTCCTGGAAAATGTCGAAATGAGAATGTACCAACTGGTTGGGTGAGGTGCCATTGGGTTCTCTTTAGATCCCCCGTTAAAAGTGAATCACTCTTGGTGGGTTAAGAATTCCCACTTCCAACCCCCAAACCAACCAAAAAAGATCTAAGAAGCCAAGGACCCGGATGGCTGGGAGCCACCCTGTGCCTCCAGTCCCACCCTCCCCGAGCTGTCGTGAAAGGCATCGCCTGAGGGCGCCAAGCGCTTGGAGCTCTGCCGCGAGCTTCCGGCAGTGCCTCCGGCTCCAAGCCACTGGTGCGATCCAAAGGCAGGGAATGAGATTTCCCCCCCCCCAAGTTTCTATGGGTTACATTGGTTTGAGCCATTTCTTGCTGCGATCCAAAGGCAGGAAATGAGCAGTGGAATGAAGCCAGGGATTTCTGTAAAGGACACCTCTGAATTGTTTTTTTTGGGGTGCCATTCCTTCATTCCCGGAGCACTAGCAAGGCTATCCCTGGAGAAGCCAAGCCAAGGGCGAGTCTGGCAACGTGAGTTTGGGCAACCAGGTGAGCGTGTCCAATCTGCACGTGCTACAATCCAATCCGGGAATTTCTAGGGGACCCTTCATTATTGGGCAAATCGCTTTTTGTGTCCCCGATGAGTGATCTCGCTATAAAGCTTGAACCACGATTTTTGTTTGCCACTTATACTCACTTCCTGAGTGTATTAGCCAAACAAACATTGTCCAAACTTTCGGCTTACAACTAAAACATGTTGTCCTAAAAGGTGATTAAAGTCCAAACACTCATGGAGTCAGTTGGTGTGAAACGCTATGTAACGTTGACCTGGGAGTATCTTAGGTGTTCTCCGGTGTTTCCCAAAAGTCCATGTAACGTCGACCCAAGATATCCCAATATTTGGGTGTTTTCCCGTGTCGCCCCCACCCCCCACCCCCCCCACCCGACATAAAAAGAAGGACACAAGAAAAGCGTCCCCTGCGAAAGTCCATGCAACGTCTTGGGATTATCTTTGAGGGGTGTTCCCATGTTCCCTCCCCCCCCCAAAAAAAAAGAGTTGCTGGTGCTCAGTAGTGAATGTGGGAACGAACCCAGGGGTCCCCTTCAAGAACACCACAAGTGATGGTTTATGAGAGTCATTCCATTTCTCGTTCCCTGCAGGAGCACCTTCTCCTCCAAAACCTGGGAGTATCTCAGGAATTGATCTCCCATGTTCCCCCCCCCCATCAAAAAGCTCAAAAAGTGAAGCCAAAACCCCGGATCCCGCCGCCCCGGTTGGCGTCCGGGCTCATGCGCTCGTTGAGGCGCTTGGAGCTCTGCCGCGACACCGTGGGGGACTCCCGCCGGGACCGTGGGCCGCTCACCGGGGACTCCCCTGCGAGTCAGGAACCACCGGAGCAACCGCCAGTTTGAAAGTAGGGCGTTTGGATCATAGATCCATGTGTATATCATGTATTATATATATATATATGCATACTTGTGTTTTTTGACATACATGTGTATATATATATAGCGAGAGAGAGAGAGAGAGACATAATATAATGTGAAAAGGAGCTGCAGTACCGTAACTAGGAGCAACTGCTCCTGGATTTGTTGATGTTGCCTAACACATTTGCATTGGCGGCATTCCGTCGTGCGAGCGTGCGTGCGTGCGTGCGTGCCCGTCTTGCCAAAAGGAGGCGTGCGGGAAGGGTGGCAGATGCGTTTCCGCTTGTGAAACGAATTCTAATATCATATTTTTTTGTTCTATTGTTCTAGTTCTATTCCAGTGCTGTATAGGATTCAACTGGGAGCCGTACAAGGGCCAGCGCCTGACACCCTCAGCATCGCCGGAACTTTATTCTTAGGGGCATGTTATCACCTGTGGTCCCAGTGATATGGATGGTGCTGCTTTGTTCTACTTTGTTCTTTATAGGATTCATCTGAGACCTTTGACCTTGGGGGTGATGCTGGATGCCAGAAAAACGGAAATGAAGAAAATGAAGGGAAAATCATTAAATGACAAACGATGAGAAACCAATGTCGCGCTTCAGCGTCTAAATCCAGCTGCGCTGTGCACGCGCAAGCGAGCTTTAGCCGATGCCAACACTGCTTGTTCGGTGCTGTCCGGGGTGGGCCAGCGCAGCCTACTTAGCATCACCAGCATCACCAGGTGTTTGTTAGCATGTTGGCATGACTGCGCGTGTGGTTGCAGACAGCTGGGCTAGTGGCATTGATGCTGGGCCAGTTTGGGGTGATGCAGGTGATGCAAAAACCTTTTTTGTGGTGACAGGAATGCTGGGAATGCAAACGGTTGCAGGTGATGCTGAGGATGCGTGCGGCTGGAGACTCACACAGTGTGCAAAAATAGATGAAACATGCACCCATCAAAGAGGGTACGGGACCCCTTCTCAGGCCCCTCAAATGCTCTCAATGATTGGTAGGGTCAAGCCTAGCTGATCCTCTTGCGCCCGGCACGGGGGGTGAGCGCCTCCAAAAAAACCCTAGGGATGCGTCTTGTTTGGGCTGGGGGGGCGGTTCCTGTGTTTCTCTCAACCAACCCCAACAAGTGCCCTTTTGAAGCCGTTGCACGCCCACAGCGATCCATCGCAGTCCCTTCGGCTTGATCTTCCCCGCGCCAACCACCATTAAAACCATGGGGGTTCATATAACCACCAGTATTTTACCCAAGGATTGTCATCAACTAAATTGGGTCCACCTGTGAAAAATGGAGGGTTGCACTCCAGGGCACAGCCACTCGGTTTCTCGTCCCGCGCCTATGCCGCCGTGCCGGAGCTCCTCCAGCTTGGAGCCCAGGCTGTGCCGCATCTCCTCGCGGCTCGAGCGGCTTGGCCCCCCCCAATCTGCGGAGACGTCCCCCCGGGAAAAAATTGCCAGGCAGACATGGCCTCCATCCCCCCCCCAAAAAAAAAGCATGGCCTCCATCTGCGGGATAGAGAGGTCCCCCCCGGAAAAAAAAAAAAAAAAAAAAAAAAATATATGGCTGAACCCATGTTTCCGGGAGTGATAGATGCCAACTTTAAGACCAAGAGGAGAAAATACACCATCTTCTTGCGGTACCCAAATGGCTTTTGCCACACAGTGGGAAAGTCCATGAACTCAAGCGAGGAATCAACATCCACCCAAAACTATGTTCAGAATTCCAAGGGCGGCCACACCTGCTTTTGGCTGGGACTGATGAAGAGAACCTTTCAGCAGCGTCATTCGGCTCCGAGTTTGTCTCTGATGAAGCATCAACTCCTTGTTTCCATTTAAAGGGGACGGGGTCTGCTTTGAAGGGCGACCTGTCGTTCTTTGAATGCATGCCCCCATGTTGCTGCTCTTTGCCACGATTTGAGCCTGCAACACGTATGACCATTCCAAGCGGTCATACTTGGTAAATGTCCATCTCTACCCGATTTAAGTATGTTCCACCATCGCTCTACGTAGGTTCTTAAAGAAGACCCAGCGTGTTGGGGCGGAAACATTTCCAAAAGTGGCGCATCACACTAGACCTGCATAACAACAGTGCTTTTAATTTCCCGCTGCAGGGCACAGTTTTTTCAAATGTTCCCAAAGGACATGACCCGTAATGTAACATGTTCTACGGGAACCAGGTTAAACTTGAATTCCACGTGAACCCTTGCCAAGAGGGATGTAGTCTGCTGAATAGGCGTTCTGGGCTTCCATGTTTGGGAAGGTCCACTCCTGAGTCGATTGGCCAAAAAGTGTTTGCAAGAGCCTGAGCTCTCGGGGACTCCCAAAACTCCACCAGGTTGCATGTTTGGGAAGGGCCACGGTCTACTCACTTCCTGAGCTGATTGGCCAAATAAAGTCCTTACCAGAGCTGGATCTCTGAAACTCCTCCAAAACTCCACCAGGTCTTTGTGTTTTTTTTTGGGGCTCCGTTCTTTGTTTTCAGGATCTCACAATAAAGAAGGCTTACCTGAAAATTTCTCTACTCCCAAAAGCTCCACCAGGAGCTGTGCTTTTCAGCTGCCCCTTTTCTGGGCGGCTTTTCTTTTCTTTCCTTTTTCCTTCCGGGCGAAAGGGAAAGACCCTCTCCTCCCCCCTTCAGAACGTCAGTGCCAGGACCCCGCCTCGCGGCGCAGTTGTTCTTCCACGGACCTCAGTGGGCGATGGCTAACACCGAAATGTGGCAGCGGAAAAGCAAATCCCGCGAAGTCCTCTCGCACCCAGAGAGCGGGAAACCATGCCCCTCGCTTTCTCTTGGGTTGGTGTCCGCTTTAGAAGGGGTATAAGGGACAATTTGGGAGAGGATGACTGTGTGCTTTTGGAAACCAATACGTGGAAACCCAAAGAAGCAGCTGTTCTGTGTCTTTTTTGCCCAAAGGGAAACAAAGATATATATATATATAAACAAAACAAAGCGAACCTGTTGGTTTCTTTTTGGGTAACCTGAATGACGTGCTTGGCTCAATGTCCAAGCCTAAACCCGGCGAACACAAATATCTACCATCATCATTTTAGTCCAAGGGCAAAGATGTCAGATAGTACCAACCGCTCATCCAAATATAAGGACCTAATTCAGTATCAATAAATGCTAATGGTTGATGTCATCTGTGTTTCCTTTCTCCTTTGTCCACCCCTTTGACCACTAATCAATCTCAGAAAGGAAAAGGGGTGGGATTGGAAAAGAAGACGATAAAAACAATAATAATAAGAATGAAAGAGAGATGAGATGGGAGCAAAATGACACGCATGTGATAGAGTGACAGTAATGAAATTGGAGGTTTTCGGGTCCACCTCTCCCCGTTCTCAGTGTTGCGTTGTTGTTTCTCTGTTACTATGACTCATCTTCAGAATGTGTCTATTGTAAACTCTAGACTCTTAGAAGTTCACATATTTGGTATGCAATATTGTCAGTGGCATTTAGCAACCACATACTAAAACAACGTGGTATGAGTGTTTATCGTTCTAGTTCTTATTATCTATATATATATATATGATGTAATAATAATGGATTTATTGTATGATGCAATTATTTATGATCCTCTTTTCTTCTTCTACATATTATTTGACAAGGATTTCCCGATCTCTTCATTCCTCTCCTCTTGTAACTTCTGGAGATGAACCGTGCTCACCTATTTATCTCTTCCTTGTTATCTCTTACCTTCCTGTCGTTCCGCTCCTCCCGTTCCCTTCACTCGCTCACTCCACACGAGTTCACGCTTCTTGGGTTAACTGTTGGCCCTCAACACGTCCCACCGGTCAACCCCCGGGAGCTGATACGAAGTGAGAAACTATCCACTCCATGCCTGCCCTCACTAAGGATGGCATGTCATTATCTTACTCTTGCTTCTTTTCATTATTGCATGCTTCTCTTAATAGCAACTCAACATGTAAATCTTAGAAGCGATAATGATAATCAGTGAGCCATCTTTGCACCTCTCGTTTCTACATCAATTTATACCAGACGAGAGGAAAAGATGGGCACTGATTGAAACGAGGTTAAAACCAACCGAAGTCATGAATCATCATAAAATTGCTGTGTGTAGAAGAGGTTGCTACCTTTATTATCCACTTCCTGCGTGGATTGGACGAACCAAGTCCTTGCTTGTTTTGTTCATGCATCTGCCGTTAAACCTTCTTCCAAAAAAGTATCAGGTCCGGAAAACTCGGGGAGTGAGAGTATGGGTACGTCGTTTTTGAGGCTTGGGACCCGTCAAACGGGTGCTTGCTTTTAAAGTGGAGGGCCAACGAGAAAACAAGCACCTAGTTTGGGGCTTGTGTATTTTGGAGACAAACTAATATCGTTCCGCTTACAAGTTCCACCACACCAAGCTAAACGTGCACATGAACAAGAAGGTGATGCTTAAGCTGACCACAAACAATATATTGTCAGAATTGCGGGAACTACAAGGACTCGCTGGAATTGTAAACGCTCAAAACCAGGAGGTCCAGCTTTTCATTTCCAAAGAGTGGGCACGGCTTTGGTTCTGCTCACTTAACTAGCTGATTTCCGGAAAGATCTGAACTCTTTGTTGCTGGTTTAAGAAAGTAAACGCTTTCGCCTGAGTTCGTTGTTGGCAGCAGCACTTCTCCCGATGAGGGTAGGAGTACGATCCCAAAGTTCCATTCAACTCTCCGGGGAGACGTGGCTGTGGCGGAATTGGGTTCGGATTCCCTATCCCAACCATTTTCAGGCGGCCCCTGTTCAAATGGCAGTGGGAACCCAATATTAACAACCTCCTGGTTGACTTGTAGGGGGGTTGTCCCATTAATATCCCGAAACACCCACCCCACCCGGCGTTTTTTCCAACCAGGTTGCTTAAGCCGGCCACATTCTAGGTAAGCCCAACGTAGTGTGAATTTCAAGCGTCGAAAGAAAGTGTGCTTTGATGGCGTCAAGGGAAACCGGGACAGCAACATTTGCTACTTGAAGGGTCCAACTCATCTTGAGAAACATCTTGAGAAACATAGAAACATCTCAACTCTGATTCTATCTGGCGGTTTCCGAAAAATATCGCCCCCGCCACATAGAAAAGGTTCTTTTCTGATTTCCCCCGAAACATCTGTCCAAAATGGGTCCTTCGTCTTGAGAAGAACACATGTTACGCAGCCAAGGGTCAAGACATATCTCACATCCATCTACCCTTGTGGTTTGGGGCATCCCTTGGGGTTTTACTAGTTTATTTTATTGTATGTTATTGTCTATGTAAACAAAAAACACACATGCATCTATCGTTTGGAACATCCCTAGCTTTCTGCGGTCGCATCCAATTCGCCGCGGTGCTTGTGCATCTGCAGGGTCAGTTCCACGGTGGAGGGGTCCAGCCAAGGATCCTGCAAATGTGAAGCTTGCCCATGCGAGGCAGGGTCTAAGTTATATCTAGGTCGAAACGTCATAGGTGGCGCATGACTAAGCAAAGCGGTCCCCTTTGCATAGGTTCTGTAAAAGCCTATTTAGAGGTGGATGACCATCCCCACAACTCCCAAGTAAAGGGGTCAATGAACCACGTCACGTGTGTTGTTTTGCCAGGTTCACGAGTTCACTGTTGTTTTCCAGCGTTTTTTGTGAGTTCAATGTTTGTTTGTGCGCGCCCTATCATTGTGTATGTTCTTGAGCATTTCCGCAGCAATGAAACACTTACAACAGCGCCAATTTTGGTTGTCGATGACTTGCTCTTAGACATGGTCGGAGGGGGAGGGTGGGGAGGGGGGGTTCTGTAGGTGCAATCACCTTTAGAGTTTCGGTTTTGGGTTTGGCAAGCTTCAGCATAGCCCCTAGGTGTCTACTGGCAGGGGGTGTGGTTCCAAAGCCTAGAAGTACTAGAACACAGGTTTCCCATCAGGAAAGCCATGTCGCTGCACCTCAAAAAATGCAGGTTCTGCCAGGTGAGTCATAATGCAAAGCTGGCGAGGAATTCTATCCGAAACACATGATAAAAGAAAGAGAGGGGCCCTTCAACTAGCCGAAAACTCTTTGAGTGTCCAAAACTCTGGCCAAAATGGTTCAGTTCCCCTCATTGTGAATGAAACCATCTGCGACGTTGAATCTAGGTAAACTGTGCCTGAAACATAATTCACCAACCTGAAACAACGGACCGCCGAGAAAAAGACCCTTCACCTGAAATACGTGTCGCACCACTTTCTGCAATCTGCGTCGGACCTAAGAACCCCCAGAGGCAGGGTCCAATGTCGTGAATGAGCTCGTGTTTCCCAGAAATCAGGCAGCTTTGGATGTTCTATCAGAGTGACAATCTCAAAACTACATGGGCGTGTCTACATCAAAGCATGAACAGGGCTTCCCAAGCAAATGCTGCCTACCATGGGTCTGAAATAGCCCCAAGGTGAAACCCGATTATGGATCCCCGGTATAACTTGCTTTGCCGGGTAAGACGGGCGAACCCGGCCGACCCCACCCCAGCCCTACCCCAAGAACCCAAGTATGAGGGCCTTTCACCCCCCAAAAGACCTCAATCAAATATGGTCTCGTGCGCCCATAGGGCCGCTGTTTTTAATCCAAGACGACCTCGTCACAAAGGAACAAGCAGCAAAACGACACTGACACTGTTCCAAAACCAGCTCGAACCTGACTTGTGCTCCAGCGCGAAAGTGTCAAAACATGGATTCGACAGCTTGGACAGGTCAGCAAAAGGGGTCGTTCTTGCTTGTTGGAATCTCAGATTGATGGTTGATAAACAGGCATAGGCGTCCCATGCAACCAACCAATCCAAACCTCGAAATGATCTTCGTGGTTTGGACTGGTTTGGGGATTTGAAATTCTGGTTCTTGTAGAGGGTAAATAAGGCGTTCCCCTCCATTTCACCACCAAACCAATCCAATCCAAACCAACTAAGAAGCTGAAATGGGAACCAACCCGGTTCAAACCAATGGAGGGACCACCAGTCCAATCCAATCCAAGCCAACCCCTGAAATGGTTGGAGAGCCGTGTCCTCCAGGGGATCGCCCTTGCCCGTCCACAAGCCCTGGCTGCACCAGGAGTCGTAGCCTTGGATTCGAAACGAGGGAAGCGGCATGCCCAACAAGGAATTCTCGGTCTTCCTGCTGGTCCCCCCTTAAAACCAACCAAAAAGGGTTCGAAGAAAAAAAAAAAAAAACACCCAAAAAAAGGAAAACGGCTTCAGTCTGAAAGTCGCGATGAGTCCGAAATTCTTTTTTTGGGGCCGACAAAACGGGAGCGGCTTCTCTTTAGGTTCGCCTTCCAGAACCCCGCACAAAGGCCACCCATGCCGAACGACCCGATAAGCTCACAGCCCAACCCCAATGCCCCCGACCCAACTCTGCCCACAAATGCTGGGCCAGAAGCGTCGATTTGGCACAGCCACGAGTTGGAGTTGTTTCGAGAAGCTTCTTTAGGACGGCCTTCCCCGCTGCTTTTCTGGAATTCAACATGGAGGCCCCCAACAAAGGGTGCCTTTCAAGGAGGTCCCTCTTCAAGAAAAATGCCAGTTGGAAGTTCCATGTCTGTCTGGAGGGTAGTTCCAAGTTCAAAATCCCCCCAAAAACACTCCGGCACCAACTAAGGTCGCCCCCGGATTCATCAAACCTGGACTATTAAGTAGATGCGGTCACCCCCAAAGTGCCCTACTTGAAGCTGTGCTCTTCAAACGGCACAACCCTCCCCCCCTTTTCCTCCACCTGGCTGGAGACCCCGTTGCGCAATTACCAGGCCCCCGGACTCGATTCCAACACGAACCACGGCACGAACTGAGCAGCAAATTTGTGTACCCCACAGCTTTGTACCCATTAAAAAAGCGTTTGTTTGATGAAATCATGGTCCCCGGTCCCCTGAAAATGGTTGGTGTCCTTTTGGCTTGTATTCAACTACCAACCAAAAAGGGACACCCAAAATGGAGATGAAACACTGGAGTCTCAAACTTACAAGTTGGTGGTGGAAATACAACGGTCCTGCCAAGACTCCGGGCCATGACCCTCGCCCCTCGCCCTGGTAGTCAAAAAAAGGGCCCCGGGACCCCAAAAAGGGCCCCCCCCCCCATTTTGGGGGGGGTCCCCAACAACCACAAAAAAATAATATATTTTTTATTGGGGGGTCCGCAACAACCATATCCCGTCAAACTGAGTTCATTGGACATGTTTGGGCCCCCAAATCTTTTCAGATGTTTCAGGCCCCAGGCCCTGATGCACTCCTTCTGTCAGGGCGCAGTCGCGCATGCTCTCAAGACGCCGTTTGAAGCTGTCGACCCTCGGAGGCGCATCATCGTGCCAGACTTAGCCTGTTTCCAACAATCATGGAAGTGGGCAGGGCAGTTTTGCAAGATGGTCCTCATCTGGAAGAAGGCCTGTCCGCTTCCATGATCGCTGGAAAAAGAGGAGACCGCACCGGAAAAAGTGACAACTGTTTGCTGGTTACAGGGGGGAATGAAGGAAACTCATTAAAGAGTTGAACAGGTCGGTTCAGTCAATGATCGGTGGACGTGGCGGGACTTGTCAGAGGAAGAATAAAAAACCGACGCCTTTGTTCGGAGTTTGAATTGGCCGTTCTTGTTCATCCCACCCATAGTTGTTCAGTCCAAATGACGCACCGGTTTGGGCGAGTTCCGCGCAACGCAAGACTTGAAATCAGGAAATGCCCAATTAACCTCCACTGGGCTGCCCTGAGATCCCCCGCCAAAAGTTTTCAACTTTTCGTGGTTTAAATGGAAACCACGAAACGCTAGGCTAAAAAGCTAAGGAACCGGATGGCTGGCTTCGCCACCAAGTTTATATGTAGGTCCCCCCAACCATCTCGGCTCAGTTTCCCAGGTGCCACTGATGAGGCTCTAAGAGGCTCGAGATGTTTTCCAGATTTTTTTGGTGGGTTTCTAGAAAGATCCGGATCCCTGGAAAGAATGGGGAAGTTGCCCTAGATTGTTTTTGGAACCGCCTCCTTTTGGGTTTTTTTGTCAGGAGTGACTACCGCAACTGCTTGTCGACACCAACAGCCCCGAGAAGCCGCAAAAAGTTCGGCCGGCTTCCTCATGCACATTGACGCCATCTGCGAGGTCCAATTCGAGATACTGTTGTGGACGTCATTTACACACCAACTCACAACGAGCCTCTGCTTTTGTTGCCTCTGCCACCTTCAGTGAAGCCCTTGGTTTGCACACCACTGTTTGTATGGGCACTTGTGTCCACCAAAGGAAAGGCTGAACAACTGAACCGTTCAACTCAACAGCCGGTATGTACCCCCCAAGCCCCTCATTTGTGGAAAGGTCTAAACTGCTGGCATCGGTCCCATCAGTAGAAACCCTGTAGAGGTTGTCCAAACTCCCTAAAGTGCGCATGACCAATGCAAAAGGGCTTTTTTGACCATGGCACATCTATGGCTCACGAATAAGGCTCGAAGTACAAAGCTACCCGAGCCCTATGTCGGGGTTCCTTTGCTTTGTGGTGCCGTGATCCCTTTCGAAACTCGGTTGCTTTCTGCTCCCCTGCTAAAAGTTTTTAACTTTTAGTGGTTTAATACGGAAAACCCATTAGTTGGCAAAAAGTTAAAGTCCTATCATCCCTTGGCAAAATGCAACAAAGGACATGTGAAACCTTCCGCGCCGAGTTCCGGGCGTCCAGTAAGAGAGCACCGAGGCCTCCATGGTGGCACTCCACTGGGTGATGCGGATGATGATGATGTCTGACACCTGGCCATGGGTCGAAATCCAAAGCCGAATCGTACCCCCAGTGAACATCCGATTCAATCCGACCACTAAAACTCGTTCTAAAATGGGTGGTGCACCTGCCCCAAAATGGGATCCCATTGGTTTTGGACCTGGAGTCAAAGTGTCCCACTTCACCTAGGCCCAGGTGGCCCGACCCCCGGAACCAATTCCTCGGAACCCTTCAGAACCCTCCCTGGCTGGATGTTGCCCAATGAAAGGCGATCTGAGGGCAAAATCACCCCATCTGAGTGAAGCATTCGTCCAAGGAGAAGCGTGGTCGCCATGTTGGGTCCCAAAGGCCGTGCCTCTGCAAGGGGCTCCATACTCATCTTGCTGGGAAAAGCGCGGAGCAACCTCTTGACAGGCCCTTTTTCTCAAGAAGCGCGCGGAAAGTCATATGGGTTTAGTCTGGCTTCTTTCCCTGCTGTCCGGAGCTTGTTCCCCACATTCCAGATCGCTGAAACGAAAGATCCTCAGTCAGTCGCTGATAAACGTTAAAGCCAATCGAAGGAAAGTAATTAGGTCCTTCTGAAACGGCCATGTCCCTTTGGTCAAAGATAGATCCCCTGCTCTAGTCTTCCCCAGGAAAGAGTTTGTTCTTCCAGGTCTTCCCCACCCATGTGGGTGGCAAAAGTGGTGGAATGCAGACTCCGTGGAAAAGAGGAAGCGCCGCTTCTTGCCCCGCGGCGATGTTTAAACAATCGCATGGGACATTTGGGGAGCCCAGCGCTGCTTTTGGCGCAACAGGATCGATGTGTTTTGTGCGTCACAGAACTCCTGAAAAAAAAGTCAGGCCAAAAATAGGACGCATCTGCACAATCCAGGACTGCCCTTCCGATTCAAGGTGTAGCTTTGATTCGTGCACTGACCCGGGCGCGATTCAACGGGTGTAGCTTTGATTGGTGCAAAAAAGCCCAGGCGCAACTGAAACCTCCCATCCAAATCTCCAAATCCGAGGCACGTGGCGGTGGATGTCCCAGACCAGCTCCACCTCGAACTTGAGGCGGTCCTTCGCGCCAGGACACATCCCGAAACTCGCAGGACGTGGCATTCTACAGGGTCCCGTTGAACCATGCAATTTGTATAGTGGCGACCTTCTGCCTTCTGGCCCCAAGATGCCGCAGGACCCTTTTAAGCCCTGTATAGTTCACAAGCTGGAAACAGGTATGGTTGCTCTTGAAGTCCAACCAAAAAGCCCGTGTGACGCATTCCCCGGCAACCCTCTTGGCACTCTGGAAGCCCACGGCCACTCACCAAAGCCTGGTCACAGAGCCCGAATCTTCGAATCTGTCTTGAAACTGAGCCCCCACTATGAAAGGTGCAGCTCGCGTAGGTTGTCCGCTAAGCCCAGTTACTCAACTCATAGCTTCTGTGGATGGCTGCGAAAATCATTTCGCGCGAAAGTCATTTTGCATGACCTAAGAAACCCTGGAATGATGATTCCTCTGTAACAAAAAACAAACAAACTATATATATATATATATATATTATGTATATATAAGCATATATGGTTTCAACCATGGTTTCAGAGTGGTACGCACGGATTTCGTGTCCCCCTCCACAGTCTGGATCACGTAGACGTGGCGCCTTCGGACCCCCAAAGAAGCCCAACCGGAGCTGGCGCGCCTCGGGCCGCAGCTCCTTGGTGATATCGTTGGCCTCGTCCACCAGCTGGGCCGCCTCCCCGGATTCCCCGGATCCCCAAGGCTCGGAGAGGCAGAGCGGAGCGGATAGGCATGCGGTAGGTTGGGACATGCCACGTCTCCTTTTGGGTTTCCCTTATTTTTTGGCCTCCCTTATTGAGAATCGCTTTCGAGCTGGTTCAAGGCAAGGAGGAAGCAGGGGGTTGCCTTGCCGCACATCGTTTTCGTGCTGGTTGAAGGCAAACAGGCAGGGGACTGTCGCGTTATCCAGGGTCCCATTGATTCAAAACCCTATTTAGCACGCCCAGAAACTAGCAACCAAAAAGGAGATTTACAAAAGAAAGAATGCACTGCAATACTTCTCCAGCCCGAACTAAGAAATATCCGTTCATCATGAGCTCGCTTTGGCCTCCAGTAAGTGAGCTCGGCGTCACTGCAAAAGTGCCGTGGTCAAAACTCACATGTAGTCTGTGGCAATCGTTCTCTTAGGAATCCTCAGTTCTCATGATTCTCTAAATGTTCTACCAATGGTTTCGTGACACCCCGAACATCCCCAAGCAAAAGGGTCGTTGTTTGGCATGTATCAAAGTACGCCGTGGCATAAATGCAAAAAAGGACATGAGCGCGCGCCACGACACCGGAATCGCAACATTTGCCAGACTGGGTTTTCAGAGTTTGCGGAGGGTGAAACCCGCAGATCCCCTGAAATGCCCGTATTAAAGCCCAACCCCCAACCCCCTCGCAGGCCTTGGAGAGGTTGTAGAAGAACTGGTTCCCCCGCTCCTCCCCGAGTCGTTCCCAGAGGTCTCCCAGGTAAAGCCGCAGCTCGCTCCTGCATACAAGGCTCCCCGCTGGGATTTGGTGCACTGAGGGGGAGTTACCAAACCACTAAGCCCCCCCAAAAAGAAATGTGGTGAAACAACCCTGTGCCGCTGAAATGGTGGTTCAGCCTGGAAAAAGAATCAAAGGGTGACAACTATAGAAGGCACCTCAGCAAAGGGTTTGGTGCTCGTTGACTAGTTGGCTACAAGCCTTGCTCAAAATGTTAGGCATTCTTTAAGAGAGCTCACTGAATGCCATGGGGCGTGCGTTTTTGAAACAAATGCCGATGAGTCCAATCGGTCGGTATGGGCCTTTTGGATTCCAGTGCGTGCCTTTGCTGCAGTCAAGCAGAACGGGTTTGATCCTGACAAGGCTGACTGTGCAGTTGCGTGAAGCAAGGGCGAGCGTGATGTGGAAGGCCTTGCCGACACCTCAAACCAATGCTTGCCATTTGACAGTGAGTCTGTGAAGGATGCCCGAGAACCTGCCCACTGTTCGAGTCTGGTCCTGGAACTCGTGCGAGTTTGTGCCAGCTCAAAGAGAAGTGGATTTCCCAACTTGGAGCTTGGGGGGGGGAGGGGGGAGGGGGGGAAGGGGGGCAAATGTCCCATCGACTCTGGGAGTTGCTTTCGGCTTTCCACGCCGGAAGCGTTGCGCCGGGCCTTTGGGCTGGGGAGGGGAGCTCTACTTGATGACTTCCCCTGGTTACCTGCTGTAGTGGTCACTGGAAGCAGTGAGCACCCCTGAAAAAAACCCCATCTTTAGGACACACTGAGATGCAGCCGAAAAAATATCCCTATGTATATGCCATCTGAGTTCACCCCTATGGAGTAGATACCCATCGACGACACCGGATGCCAGTCCAGGCTTCGCTCTCGTCGGTGATGATCAGCTTCATGGTGTCGTGCTTCAACAAACTGCGCTTCTTCACCACCTGAGGCGCTCGCTGAAATCGGCTGGCGGCGAGACTCAGGATGTGTCAACATGGGAAGTGCATGGATGCGAAATCCAGAAATCGCACCACCAAACTCAGCAACCCTGGTGTCTGATTCGATTCCCCAACGTAAATACCAACAAACCATGGTTTCAACCATGGTTTCAAAGAGGTACGAAATGGATTTTGTCCATCCACAGCAGGGAAGCCCCGCTCAAAATGGCGCCAGCGTAAAAAGGCTACCCTCTAAATCATTTTCTGGGGGAAGAGGGGTAGGGGGGAGGGTTGAATTCTATGGCAATCATTGATTCAAGCGGGGAAACGTGCTAAGCCAACCATGTTGGGCGAGTCCCCAACCTAACGGTTTGGGGTTTATACTTTAAACATGTTTTAAACCCTTGAAAGGGAAAGGAAGCCGCCAAATTGGTCTGCTGATGTCTGCTGTGGGGAGGACGATGGCAAACTGAGGTGGATGTGCTATGGTCAAAGCTCCTCTTGTGGGCTATGGCCGTGTGGCTGCCTGATGCTGCCTTCATAGGACCCTTACGATGGAATTCTAAAGCCCCAGGAAGAGTCGATGCGCCAATCCGTGTTCGAGGAATCTTCTTTGGAGCCCCTTTCCGGGAATGCGAACTTGGGGAGACACACAGACACGAAGACACGCAGACACAGACACAGACACACACAGACACGCACACGCACACGCACAAGCAAACACGCAAACACACAAACACACAAACACACAAACACACAGACACACAAACACACAGACACAGACACGCCACACACACACACAAACAGACCACACACACACACCACACACACACACACACCACACACACACACACGCGCGCACACGCTGGCACTCACACACGCACACACAGCTGGCAGCAAAGGAATCACTCAAATGGAAGCCTTGTAGACCCATTTAAGGGATCATCCCCCTCCAGGCCCAGTTGTTCATCAGGGGTTGCGGCCTTCTTGATTTCCGCAGGGAGCACAACCTAACATGAATCAGTGGAGGTCCATTCATCCAGGCTCAAAAGTAGTAATAGTCAGGGTTAGTTGGAAGCAACCTTTGCTTTGTTCGTGTTGACCAAGGTCATCTAACTTCAGAAATGCATGTTCAAGAAGCGCTTCAAACTCGATTGAATGGTTCGCAATGATTGTTCCCAGAAAAGCCGGGGAATTGACTTTGCCCCGTGCTATTGAGATGCTCTTTTGGGTTGGTTACTTCTGAAATGACGTTCCTTAGAGCATCCGCTTTGAGGAGTCCATTAAAAGCGGTCTAAATGGTGTACTTGGTCTGGCTATTCTAACAAATAGATGGAAACCAAGTTACATCAAAATTCCTATCAGATGCAGCCATTTGGGAGGCATTCCGCATACCCTCCCTTCCACTATCATGGCTTCTGACAAAGGGCCCCTTGGAGAGTAGATTGATCTTCCAGGTATCCTCCCACAGGTGCCATGTTAGTTGGAGGAAGGGTATCACTTTTGCTGGAGTTATTGCTGAACTCTATTCCTCGACTTTTTCTGGGATGCTCCTCCCCCGTGAGGGCCGACGAGCACCATCTAGCGCTTGCACGTGGGGGTTGATCAAAAGGTCCGTGCTACATGGGATGACCACTGCTTGGAAAACCCACCGAAACGATGACATATCCCACTAAATGAGGAAAAATCACCCATGGTCATTCGGGGGCCATGATACTGATCAACCCCCACATTCTTTCGACATACGGGTTGCTCCCATTTGACCCTTTCGCTCGGCTGTGTCCCTTTGACACCCTCTGCAAGAACCAGGGAACCAAATATCCCCCCACCACCAATGCAAAGCACCAACTAGGGGATACCTTGGTCCATGGAAAACGACTGCTGGCTAACATCCCTTCCCAAAAAGGGTCTATACCTGCGTATACCGGCCCATTCTCCACAATTCGTTGGAAACCAGGGAACCTACTGCCACTGATAGAAAAAACCGCCAAAAGACAACAGACAACAATACTAAATAAATAAATAAATAAATAAATAAATAAATAAATAAAATAAAAAAGAACACCAACTATGACTGGGGGGGCGGCCTACAAGGACCATATCAACAATAGGCACTGTGCGTCCCGGCCGGTGCCTCAGAGTCCTGCACAGAAAACTGGAGATCCGGCCATGTCATCGTGGAATCGTATTAAAGCAGAAGAATTCAAGAACCGCTCTGTGTTATGTGTATTGAGATTGTCTTGTTAGTTTGTGTCTCAATGGTGTTGCCAAAAGCAAGCAACGCACAACGCACATGTCAGCGTTGTTACTATGGCTTTTGTTTGCGTTCTTTAAACAAAAAAGCAAGAGTAGACGGACGTCTACTAACTTCAGGAATGCATGCATGTCTCAAGACACTGTGCTAGCAACGTCATCTCAACTGGGCGGGTGTCGGCGAGAACTCTCAAGCAGAAACGGAGCATGTTCAACTGCCAGATGTACTCCAAGGTGATGCAGCAACATCCCAGGCTGCGTCAGCGAAGGACATGTTGAGTGGGAATGTGACATGTGGACAATGTTCTTTGTTCCAAAGGACACGGAAGAAGTGGGTGGGCCACTGGATTCAATTAGTGGCAAACTAGCACTAAGCTACTAATAGCTGTCAGTGACCGACATATTCAATCAACTTGTGTTGAAGATTGAACCTTGAAAACCTTCCAATCCGCATCCAAGAAATCTAGGAAAACTAGAAATGGGTTGTAAATTGCTCATGTAGAACCCGTCTGCACCCTTCTGACCCCACCCTGCCCGCAGTTCCCCAAAAAGACTTCAAGTTCCGGCCATATTGAGGCCTTCTTTTGGGGAAGCAAGGGGAGGGCGGGGGGGGAGGGGGGGGAGTAGGGAAGGAGGGACTGGGAAAGAAGGGACTGGGGAAGGGACCGCTGTGGATCTTACAGATATGTCCCTTCAAACATCATCCTAAAGTATGGGCGGATGCCGGGTGATTGTCTCGTGGTGCAAGCTGGACCAAAGTTGAGGCCTAGAAACTCTCCGAATGCGTTTCTAAGAGACCCAAACAACACCAGCGGTAAAGGCTGGGGTCCCCCCCACAAGGTTTGGGTGACCATCTTCAATAAGCCCCTGAGGAAATTATCGTTGACACAGCCGCTCAAGAACCATCCAACAGGGGGAATCGCGCTGAATTTCTGAAACAGTACAAACAGACTCGCCCCAAAGGCAACGAAAGGTTGGCCCTTTGGAACCCTGACATATGAACCAAATCAGCGCGAAACCAAAGGCGGTTTTAAGGTCGACTGGCTTTGGCAAGCATCACTCCACTAAAGGAAATTAACTCACTTTCAATTTTATGTTTAAACCCACCCAACAAGGGGCCCCCGAAGCACAATTTTTGGGACCCTGCTTTTCAACCCTCCACCAGCGTTTTCTAGCTCTCTCTTTCCCTCTTGGTTCTGGTGATCCCCAAAAAGAAGCTGCCTTGGTGTTGGGATGAACAAATAGAAGCCGACAGGAACAAACCAGATTCCGCCATGGCACCAACACACACACACACACACCCAGGGACCCTGCCTTTCAGCCCGTTTTCTAGCCCTCTATTTACCTCTTGGTTTTGGGGATCAAAAAAAACATGAAGCAGCTAACAGGAACAAACCAGATTCCCCCCGGCACCAGAAAACACACACACACACACACGGCGCGCGGTGCGCGGCGCGCGGCCCGCGCGCCAGCCACAAACACCGAAATCGGCGGTCGGGGGCATCGGTCCGAGGAGTTCTCGGAGTTCTCCTCGTCCGGGGACTTGTTCGCCGCCAGCTCCTCGCGCGCTGCAAACTCGACGCGTCCGAATCCATCGACTTTAGGCTGTGAGACCAAAGTGGGAGTAGGACTACAAAGGCCCTGGTTTCTTTCTTTTTTTAGTTTGTTGTGTTTTTTGTTTGTTGTTGTTTTTTCCCCGTCCGCATGAGGTAGTGGAGCTTACCCTTCCTCCCACTAACATGAAATTTGGGGTGATGATGGTTACCCTTCCTCCCACCAACATAAAGCATTTGTGGGGGTACCTGGAAGAACATTATTCCTATTGGAGGGACCCCCGGTCAGGTGCCATGTCAATGGGAGAGAGGGTACATTTCACCAATTTACCTCATGATTTTGCAAGAATATTGCTTGGAATTAATTAACCGCTTACATTGAGTTCATCAACTGAACGGGAATTCCGTTTAGTATTTCCCTTTGGTATCGCCGAAAGTGACACTAACACCCAGCTGCAACCATGGCGTTGCGTTCGGCCGAATTTTGCCTTCGAAACTCAATGGACTAACCACATCCAGAACCCAGCGTCCATGGCTGTTTGCTTTCCATTTGTTTGAGTTCTTGGGAACGCGCTCCTTGTCAATCAAGGCAGAGTCCCTTCATTTCGAGATTGGATGGGGACCTTTCTGATGTGAGGCGTTCGCGCGCTTCCCCCTTTCTGTTCGTAGTCGATTCCAAAAAGATATCTCCCTCCTTAAAACAAAAGGAAAAAGGACATGCAGCACTGTGTGGCGGGAGCCCGCACGAATCCTATCTTTGCCTCACCTTATGTCGACTGTGCTTGGCATACTTCTCGTTTTTGGGGCGTTGTGGTTTCTGCGGGCATGGTGCTGCAAAGAACCTTGAGTTTTGACTCACAAGTGCAAAACAGCCTCATCGATCTGTCAGGGCGCTTCAAGGGTTTGCTAAGTGGGTTCTAAAGGGTCACCAAGCTATTCAAAACTCATCCCTACACATAGATAGGTAGATAGATAGATAGATTAGATTAGATTAGAATAGATTAGATTAGATTGCTTCTAGGCGGGTTCGTTTAAAGGGTATCTAGGGCCTGAGACTTAAGCAAACATTCCAAGGCTCCTGAACAAACCTCCAGAAACCCTCAAAGTTCCTTGCGGCTTCGGGACGAAAGCCCATCAGTTTCAAGCGAACCAGGTCTCGTTGCTTTTTATAAGTTTTGCCCCACACTGCTATTTGTGTGTGTCTGTTCTGTTGAGGAACCTCTAAGGAACCCAAGCCTCGAAGCCTCTAACGCCGCCAGCCTGCAAGGACTAAGACGCCCAAAGACAACCTAAGGCCCAAAGGCCCTCGCCCTGTTTCGCCCCTCACCGGCCGCTTTTTCGCCCCGTTCGCCCGCGGATGTTTGTCCGAACCGACCCGTCCTGGTGCTCCAGGGGCACCACGAGCTTCATCATCCAGGCGCGGCCCAGGATGAGGCGGTCGAAGTGCTGCAGCTGCCGCCGCTCCCCGCGCTTCATGGCCTGCCCGTTCACCAGCACCTCGGATTCGTTTCGCCTTGAGAGGTTGGACCCCCCAAAAGAATTGCTGGCGCGATAGGCGGGGCATGAGGGAGCACCTCGGAGAATCAAAACCTGGTATAAAAATGGTCAGAACCATGTAAAGAATTAAGAAGGCGGATATCCGCAGCTATTTCTGGCGGGGATTGTCCCTTACTAACCTTCATCTACCCGGGTTTTGATTGTGGCTCAGATGGGTTTCGCCTTTTCAAGAGGTTGGACCCACCAAAACAATTGCTGGTGCGATAGGCAGGGCATGAGGGAATGAGGGAATGACCCCAAAATGGTGGTTCTGTTTGGGTTTTCCTTTTAAAGCCAATGGTGAGTCACTAGTAAACCGATGGTCAGTCACTTTTTAGGGTTGGATCCCCCCCCCAAAAAAACAACTGTAAACCATCCCTTTTGGTTTCCTTTAGGGGGACCCCCCAAAAATCGTGGTTATTTTTGTGTTTCCTTTTGAAGCCAATGGTGAGTCGCTAGTAGATCAGGGCAAAATATGGCTCTTGGACCCTCAAATGACACTACAGAATTGGAGATGGGTTTGTCGTTTTGAAGGCGGACCCCCCCCCAAAAAAAAAAAAACACAAAAAAAAAACTAAAAACAAAAAAAACTATAAATGGCGGTTTGCAGTTGTTCCTTTCGGTGTTCCTTTTGAAACCAACCAAAAAGGGCTTCCCAAACAATGAACCCCCCATGATATGAGCACAAACGTTTCTTCTTTCCGGCTTCCTGTCGAAAATCCGCCGGGGGTTTGCCCAACTGTCGGCCCCTGCCACGCCCCGGACACGCCCCGGAGTGGCGGATGGGGCGTTTTCGGGTTCCAGACCGGTGCAAAGGGGGGGCTTTCCGAGAGACTAAGGGAGTCCACCCAGTTTGGATCTCTGTAGCTGTTGGTTGTCTGTAACTGCTTTGGTACTTACATCTGGGTGTTTCACTTTTGGGGGAACCCCCAACCTCCCCCCAACCTCCCCCAACCTCCCCCCAACCTCCCCCCAACCTCAACCTCCCAACCTCCCAACCTCCCAACCTCCCGCCCCCCCAACCCCCCCAACCTCCCCAAACGAATGACCCCCGTCCCGTGACGCCGTCCGTCGACCATCCGAGCTTCTCTCGCTTTCTCCCCCGTGGCGGCGGAGGCCTGGCGAATATAGACCTGCCGGCGCTTGCGGGCCCGAACAGCGCCGGGGCTCCAGGACATTCGTCTCGTAGGATCTCGTAGGGGTCATGTGGGTGTGGCTGTCAACAATGAGAACAAGGACGCAAATTCCTGCGGCCCATATCCTCTGTAAGTTTGACCCATAGCCATGTAAAGCCCCATCAGGGAACATAGGCCGGACCTCGAAACTAAAACAAGAGTTGTAGGTAACCTAATAAGTAGCACAAAGCACAATCAAGGAAACTAAACCCATGAAAAGATCTGGGACTATTGCTTTTAGCAGCCTAAACAGACTCTCTGGATAGGTTTGGAATGGCTTGGGTTGTGTTTGGCAGTTTGATTTCTTGAGTGGATTGGCCCAACAAAGTCCAAACTTGATCTTTGCAACTCCAATGCTTTCTGAAACACTCTAAAGTCCCCGAACTCAGTGAGTGAGCAAAAACCGCAACTTGGGGGGTCGTTGACTAGTGGGTTGGCTCATACAGTTGGGTGTCCAACCAACTATAGTACGTAGGTCAATTCTACATAAATTATAACTTGGTTGCTGTTGACGCCTCTTCAGAAAGTGTTTAACTCTTTGCAGGTCCCATGGAACATCCATTTCAACCCAAAAAGTTGAAGCCCAAAGATCCGTGGCCGGAAACCGAAAAAAAGGAAAATGTTCTGATGGTCCCCGCGGTTCTGCTAGGCTGAAGATCCGGTCGCCTGTCGCTGGTCCGGGTTCTCAAAGGAGCACAAAAAGTCGTTGATGCCCAGACCCTTGATGACCTGAGCCCGGGCTTTCTCGTGCCCGCTTTTTCAAGGGCATGCTCAGGTGATCTCAGGTGGTTTGGAGGTGCGGGGAAACGTTCAAGTGACAAAATGAGAACTAAAAAAACCCGCCTTAGTCAGTGAGTTTGTCTCAGTTTCTGCCAAATGGTTGAAAGGTGTCACTTTCAACATTTTCAGCCAGTCTTTTCCAAACCACAAGGTTTTCCATCTTTGCAGGTCCACCGAAAGAGAACTCCTGCGGCATTTTTCCGCGGAGTGATGCAGGGGTCCGTCATCCAGCGCCGAAAGCTTCCGGTGGAATTGGCTTTCAACCAGTTGCAGTATCTCACTTATTGAGTGGAGTGGTCTCAGAACAAGCTGGGACTTGTTGTTCTTTTCTTTTTGCCGGCAAAACCACCTTCCCAAAAAAGAAGAAAATAGGTCGAGAACTGGGATGTAGGAGATTTCCGGGTTGCTTCCATCTGACCCGACCGGCACAAGAGTAGCAACTTGGCAACCTCGCCTAATTGTCTACCCTCAGTTGATCATCCTGAGGCTCGTCTCTCCTGAATATCTGGGAGCCTCTTTTGATGTCCCTTTTAAAAAAGCGACACACCAAGGTTTGAACAACCCGCTGACCTCTCGAGTCGTCTTTGGTCCAGGGGCGATGTCGTTGTCCGGGTGGCTGCCCATCTTTGTGACTTGGCCCTTGGGGAGGAAGTACACCAAGCACCCGGACAGCACCGGGTCATCGCCTATGGAACGATGAGCCAAACGAGCCATATGGTGCGGGTGGAGGTTGGGGTGGGGTGGGGCTGGGGTGGGGCTGGGGTGGGTTGGGGTGGGGTGGGGTGGGGTGGGTTGGGGTGGGGTGGGGTGGGGTGGCGGCGAAATCCATGTCGATTTCACCACCGATCGATTTCGACACCCTGGTCTCGGATTCGATTCCCGTGTAAATACCAACCAAACCGTGGGTTTCAACCATGGCTTCAAACGGATTTAGTCCATCCACAGGGGCCCCGAACCCAATGTCGCCGTGCACTGGGTTGCAATGGCTTTTTGTTGCTATGGCTCTGAAGCAGTATACCTCCATTTGCTTAAGTCCCCTGGAAAAAATAAAATTCCAGTAGTGATGGATTCCCTTTAAAATCACCAATTCTTAACTTAAGCAAAATGGAAGTTTATGAGAACAGGGGCCTCTTTGTGGGCCGAGGAAAGTACGTGGAAATGGAGTGGGCGTTTGTATTTCACGTAGACTATGTCACTAAGAATATGTACAACCGTGCGGTGCATTGAGACCCTTCAGAGACAATCCGTGCAGGGTCTCCAGCAAACTGCGTGAGCCCCGCAGCAAATTACTAATGATTCCCCAAGAGGAAATGCGAAATTCCTCAGGTATTTGGGAGAACGTTGGGTTGTCTCGCCATGCCCTCCTGAGAACTTACAATCGACTACCAATAATTTTGTCAGTTGCTCATATGGGTATTTGTGAAAATAGGAGACACCCCAAGGAAAAAACACGTTTTCTGTTGTTTTGTGCGCTTTCTGGCGCCACAACAAAACTGGATACCTACCAGTCAGGGATGACGATCTCCACTCAAAACCAAACGGGAACATGCATTGAAAACACACACACACACAATGAAGGCCCTGCGTGCCAACCACAAAACTGTTGTTCGACCTCCAGTTTACGTTTTGCCTTGTGGGCCTAGAATTCCAGCAAAAAGGGTCGCCCACACACCATCAGCAAGCAGAAAAAGCCAACACCTTCAAAATAGACTTTTGCCACACCTTTCGGCGATCTATGGGAATTTCAGGTAGTGCGTCCCACATAGCCGGGCTACACAGGAAAGCCTCTGCTACCGGCCCCCCAATCCCTTGGCTTGGGACATAGGACACCCAAGGCTTGGCTTCTGACAATTCCCACACCCCAAGCCTCTCCTTAAGACTCCGGGACTGGCCGTGGCAAGACAAAAAACCAGGATGGATTCTGCTAAAAGCAAACGAATGTACCAGTCGGATATCCTTTGAAGGGTGGTGTCCTAGTGGCGTCGCTGTAAAACATCCCAAAAAGGATACCCTCAAAAAAAAAACGCGCCCATGGGGAAATGAGTGGTTCTCATGTTGTTGCTTGTGAGTCTATCCATCCCTCTCCCAGATTGCTCTATATGTATGTTGAACCTCGTATGAGCCGTGGGCAATATCGCTTGCTCCCCAAAAGCAAATGAGCGAACTGGCTGAGCCGCATGGTTGCTGTGGGGAATATGGTCCCCCCCCCCGCAACGTCCTCCCCAAACTAACAATAGGCCACCTGCAAATGTGTTAGTTGTTCACATAAACCATTGTCCCGCAATCACATTTTATAGGAACCCGAACCAACGCAACCCCACCCTCTCTGGCCCCCCAAACAAGAAGGTAGCAAGGCCTTCGGGGTTAGGAATAAAGCTTTTTGACCGAGTGAAGTTGAGGTGAGCATCGCTTAATCTCGATTAACGGTTTGGTTTTACTAACATGTTCACAAAGGTATATATTGGCTATACTGTAACCCCATTTAGACCAGGCAGTTTAACCACCTGGGTATGAACTTCGACAGGGGACCCTTTGATGGACATCATTTTGGGAGGCTTGATGTCCACCAGTCACCAGCCCATTTTTGAGGGGGTTCCCTACTGGGTGTTCTTGGGCGCTGCTCAAGTAATCCTCTCGTCCCCCTCTGCACCACATCTGTGCCGGGGTGCTCATGTTGAGCAGATGAGGTGTGTTCCTCGGCGGATTTCCCAACTTTGGATCTCAAGCCACGACCCCAAGGGGTCCCCCTCATGGATCGGCATGCAAAAAAACGAAATGTGGCCCCCTGTTACGCTGGTGCCGCGTCAAATGACACGTGTTGCAGAGGCCAAAAAAGGCCCCGAATTCATCTCGACGGGACCCTCCAATATCATACGTGAAAAGCGGGCGCCCTTTTTTTGAGTCGGAATCCTGCTTGAGGCGATTCTAAATAGAAGCACATTCCGTTTTGGGGAGCCCCCAATTTCGAAGCGCCCAACATGGACGTCGAGAGCGTCTCTCCAGCCGAAGGCGCTTCTCCAGCCCAAAGACCTCGTCCACATCCTGCGCCCGGGGGATCTTGTTTGCAACTACATTCTTCTAGGGCCCACATGAGCTGTTGATCCCCCAAACTCAAAGAGCGCTCGGTTGCTCCGAAGGCCACATCGACGCAAGGCTTCTAGTGAGGGAAACCAAAGAGACGGCTCACCGATCTTCTACAGAAGAAACGGCTCGGAGCAACCCTGCTGAAAGAGGGAAACAACAGGGGACGGCCAAAGGAGGATGCAAGATCTGGAGAAAGACAAGGCATCCTGTTCGGGTTTATGTCAAACCAGGGTCTGATCTTCTGCACAGAGGGGCTTCTGATTGCTGAGGCGGCGCGTTCTGGGAGTGGTTTAAAGGGACACCAAAGGAAAACCGCTGTTTTGAGGGTTCGCATACTCGAGGAACAATTGGACACCCATGCATCTTTCCTTCAGCGGATCCTTTCCACTGGCATTGCTTCTCAAGCGCCAAGGCCCGCCCAAACGTGCGCCCACAAGGCCCGTCCTCGCTGCTGAGGCCCTGTTGGTTCAGCGCTTCTTGCCGCGCGGAGGCCAAAAGCTGCGCCTGGCGCTCCACGGGACTTCGCTTCGAGGGAGAAGCCTTTGCTTGGTTGACGTTGGAAGGGGAGCAAAAAAATGAAATTTTAGCAGTTAAGTGGTTGGATTTCCCACTAAACTACAATAAGCAAAAATGTAAAATGTTTCCCAACGACAACCATGTTTGGGGGGCTGTGGCCAGTCGAGTATTCATGGACCCGCATATCGTTGGTGGCCAAGCCTTCGGAACGTCCGCACGCCCCAGCATTGGCCGTATCCTTTGCCAAGCTCTGGTTGGTGTCAAATCCGCCGACATTGCTCGGCGTGTCGGACACCTAAGAGAGGATAGAGGATAACCCCCCCCCTAACCCCCCCCCCGCCCGACGTCTGATACGTGGGGGGGGGGGGGGCCCCCCCCCCCCCAAGGACCGCGCGGCAATTTGATGACGTTCCACTAAACGTAGTCTTCGGGGAGCCGGTGTCGCAAAACAGGGGTCCCAGGCTCGATTCCCCCTGCCGGCTCTTTGCTGGTTTGGGGTTCCTGCCTCCTTTTGCAGAAAATCTGGAAAAACTCTGTGTTTTTGGACGTCCTAATTGTGAAAACGCTGGAAAACCCGTGTTTTTTGCTGGAAATATTGGGGAGCAGAGGGGAAATGCAAGGAAGTGCAAGTGAAATGAGGGGAGGAAATAGGAAGTCGACATGACAGGAAAGCAGCGGGACATGAAAGGGAAACAAAGGGGAACTGAAAGGGACATGCAAGGGACAGAAATGAAAACAAGGGGAGTGCAGGGGGAAGGAGAGGAAACAAAGCACAAGGAAACCAAGCACGACGGGAGATGTAGGGAAATGACTCGCAACGAAAGAACGGGACATACATGGCAAATGAAGCGGACATACCGAGAAAATGTCAGGGACATGAAGGGGGGGCTGAATGGCATGGAAGGGACAGGACCAGGACATCATGGGAAACGTGACAAGGACATGAAGGGGGAAAGCCAGTAGTGAGATGACAGTTCAGGGTCATGCAGGGGCAGTGCCCGGACATCGAGGCAACTCGGGGGGGGACGTGACGGTGCAATGCAGAGAGAGAGAGACAGAGAGAGAGAGAGAGAGAGAGAGAGAGAGTGGGAGAGAGCGAGAGAGAGACAGAGAGAGAGACAGAAAGAGAGAGAGAGAGAGACAGAGCCAGAATCAGAGAAACAGAGAAAGAGACAGACAGAGAGAGAGACAGCGAGAGAGAGAAAGACGGAGACTGAGAAAGAGAGACACAGAAAGACAGAGAGAGAGAGAGAGAGAGAGAGAAAGAGAAAGAGAAAGAGAAAGAGCGAGAAAGTGAGAGAGTAGAGAGGTTCGAATTAGGGTGCCCTTTTTCTGTAGAGGGGCGTGGACAGGAAGGAGACAGGGAGACAGAAAGAGACAGAGAAACAGAGACAGCGAGAGAGAGAGAGTGGGAGATTGAGGAGAGAGAGGCTTGGGGGGATGGGGAGAATGGGGAGCAGAGGGAGGGAGAGAGGACGACAGAACGCACGAGGGAGACAAGGGAGAGGGAAGAAGGAGAAAAGGGAGAGGACAATGTCGGCGGACTGAGCCGGAGGCTCTAAAGTTTTCCCTCGGTAAAAAACAATTTGCTCTTACATCTAGGCGCCATGTCTTACCATAAGATCTAAGATGTACTACTAATCATTGACCTAGACTTTCGGTGATATCGTTTGGTGGTTGATTCCCATCCCCATAACCTGTTGATCAGCTTTTATTGGGAATTCCCTGCGCAACCGGGCAGGACATTGGTCAACATCGCCTTGATAAAAACAATCAAGACACCCACTGTGAGAACTGAAACCGAAGTCCAGCCACCAAGCCCTCAAATACCTCAAGGGGGCAAACTAAACATGGGTATTGATCAAAAGGTCCTTTACACGGGATGACCACCAGGGAAACAAAGAAGAGCACTTTTTCACCACATGGACCACATGGCAAAAAAAGTGTCCCATGGTCACTTGGGGCCACATCAAATGGCTGTGGCTCAAAAAACCGGCACCAAAATGGAACCCTGGTAAGTGGAAGCATGGACCAAAACCCGCGTAACCCCTCCTGGTTTTTTTGAGCCACACCCAACTCTATTTTCCGGCCGGTCGGAACGAAGGAACCGCCTCCTCCAGCTGCACGGTATAGGACTGGCGTAGCGTCTTCCTTTGGAAAAAAAACAAAAACAAAAATGGGGCGAAGGGCCAAAAGGGAGGTGGTGCCCCCCCCAAAACTTGGCCCAACCCGGTACACGAATAATTCGCTCAAATTCTGCTCCATGCTAATAAGTCAACCTTACAAGAAACAATTTCTTGGAGGTTCAACCCACAGAGTAGGTTGTCACCCTGGTCTTAAGTGAACTAACCCCTTCCACTGTTGCGACTATGGTTCAAACCTATTTGCTGAATAGTTGACCATAGCACATATGGCTTTTACCTTGTCGTGTACCCCCACGCGGCTCGAACAAAGGATTAAGGTCCTCCAAATTACTCAACTCATGAAACGAATCAGTGAGAGTGCAAAAAAATACAAGGGGACCGCCCACATTGGCAATGGATTTCTGCGGTTTCCCTTTCAACACTCTCCAAAGAGGGTGTCTGTCAGGGGTACAGTTAGAATGGAGTTGAGTATTAAAGCCCCAAATCCAAGAATCAGGTGCGACTTGGTAGCCCCTTTTCTTACTCTCATGCCAGAACCGACTTCGATGCCATGAAATCCCCCCCACCGTTTTGTTCATTCCTCCGAAGCCGCCCGAAGCCCCAAAACTCTCGGCCCCAACTTGGGCCCCCTGGCAGCACTCGCTCCCGGTCCGCGATCTCCTCTTGCACCGAGCCGGCGCCCAGCGCGTTCACCTCGCGGATAGGGAACGAAAATCCTATGACTATGGTCAAAGAACGCAATCCCAACAGGGCGCGCCCAAGGCAAAGGCCGAACATTGGGTAATTCAGATTGGGCCACCCTCCAACTGGAGCAGCCAGGCCTAACTCACCAAAATGCTTAAGAACAGAAATATGGAGGATCCCTGCCCTTGTTGAAGGCGCAGCGGACTTTGCGGTTAGTAAGCACGCATCTAACCCTAAGCTAGTGTCCCCTTTAACAGAAGCAAATGGAGTGCTACCATGATGGTTGCCAACCATTTACTAAGCCTTACTTACCCTCTAACACGGCAATTAAGGGCCATTGGAAGATCAATTTTCGCTTGAAGGGACCCCGCTGTCGGCCATGTTGTCGACATCAAGTGTGCACCATACCTTGGCCCTTCTCCAGTACACAGAAAAAAGGATAAAAACACACACACACACACACACACACACACACACACACACACACACACACACACACACACACACACACACACACACACACACACACACACGCACACGGATTGACTGTTTTTATTTTTTCATATCTAGTCTGCCCATACAAATTGGTTTTGGAGGGGGCCCCAGATTCCACCCCCCCCCCCATTCCGGGGTCTGCACCCAGCGCGACCTGAGGCGAACGAACAACCACTCTCGCCTCCACGCCCCGTGCCGCCAGCAGCGCCTTCAAGCGCCGCACCTCCGCCTGAGCGACCCAGACCCGGCGGGACTTTGTCGAAGGCGAGTTGGCAGACTGGAACCGTCAAAAACAATTTGTTTGTCAAAGCGGGGGGAAAAAGCAAAAACACATACCAATACGAAAAAAACACATCTTAAAAAGGCGCCGCTGAAAGCGAATAAATACAACATCACGAAAAAAGAAGAACAACTAGTCTTCCTCCAAGTAATGGATATCCCTGTTGGCAGGCAATGTTTGAGGCATTGCTAGCCTAGGAATTCGAACTGATGCCACACTTTGGAACATCAAGATGGAGGAAACCAATCCAATTGAGCTCTGGCAAATATGGTTTGGCAAGGCAACATCATGTTTTCGTGACGATTTTGAACCAAAGATAATGCGTTCCTTTCCTACCAGTTCAAAACCTGGTTTACTTTGATTGAGCTTCTGTAGAGTGCTCTTTGGCCAAACAGACAAACCCACACAAACATTGGTTCCCTTCTGGAATTGGCCCTTCATATATGTTACCCCCCGCTAGAAATCTGCTTGGGGCTGATCTCTCTCTTAGTGGAGAACCCACTCAACAGAAACTAGGTCCTCCATTGGAGAGGTTAGAATAAGTTGGTAGCAGTAGGGGAACCCTGCCCCAAAACAGGGGTGAGAAAGGGCGCCACTGGGGGGACCTAGGAAAGGGAACAGAGGTGCCTTTGAACAACTGGGATTTGGGGTCAGGGTGTAAAGCTGCCTCTTCGGCAATTGGGACCTGCCTGCAAGTGTTGTACCACCCCCGTCTTCTGGTCCACGTTCACCGAGGCGTTTGTCTTCACCTGTCCATTCCGGAGATTGTGCGGTGGCGCGAGTCGGGAGGAGTTGGATTGAACTACAGTTTTTTTTCAGGGGAAGCTTTCGGGGTGTCGAATCTGCCCAATACTATGAGGGCCTAAATAATCTGAATAGGGTTGTGAGGTACCCTAATCCAAATTGAGCAATGATTCCAGGAGTAAACTGTTGGACTATTTTGTCCCTTCCATTATTGCAATTGAACTAGTTGGCTCCAAAGACCCAGACAGGGTAGAACTGCGGCCCATAGTAAAGGGAAACCAAAGGAACCAGTTCATCCATTCTCCACCCTTGCGGTGCACTCATCTTTTACGGGCTCGGAGCAACGCTTAGAAAGCTCGTTCCCCACTTGTTTAGGGAGTTCACCTGTCCAACCTGCCCCAAGCTCTGCATTGGAGATTCTCCTGGAATAGGCCCTTCAGAAGGTGCAAAACATGCGACTGTGAGTCAACTTTCCTGGAGGGCTTAGGTTTACCATTGAAAAACACTGACACCCCGGTTCTGATTCTGGGGTCTGCCTTTCAAACATATGGGTGATTCAAACGTGAACGGAAAAGTTGACCCATGACTACTGTGGATCCTTTCAAATGTAAATCAAAGGGGCTACTTTTGCTGGAAGAAAGGACTACCACCACTAAACAGGCACCAAAACCTCCGATCTCAATTGTTGGGTCAACATTAACCGCAAGTGGCTGGTAGCCATGGTCTAACTCATTTACCCCTGTTCTAAGTCCCCTAAGCGGGAAAAAACCAGGGTTGCTAACCACCGACTAGATAGGGTGAGCTCGTTCCAAATTTGCACAAAATCAATGCCCCCCCCCCCTTCTGGTTTCCAACAAGCTTTAAAGGGGTCCAACTTTCTTTATGTACAACTTTCAATGTTCAGAGGGTAGAAACGTATATTATAATATAAAGCCTAAACCCTTGGGTCTGTCTTCAATCTGGGGTCATGAGCTTTTCAGCGAAGACTAAAAGGAGAGAGCCAAAAGTCTTCAGCCAGCTCGCTCATGCAAAACCATCGCTGTTGTTCTCAATGTCTCAAACAGTACCCTCCCTCCAACAATCATGAAAGTGGACAGAGGTCTTCCCCAAAAGGAAGCTAGTCTTGCAAAACCCTCCGATCGTCAGCTTCCATGATTGCTGGCGGGAGGGTAAACTAAACCGCCCAAGGAGTATCCCCACCATGGCCCAAACACATTTCCCTCGTGGAACCTCCTGGGCAGCAACAAACCCAGGATCGGCTGTTCCACCCAGATGGCTATTGGGAAAAAACCCCACCAGAAATCGAAAGGCGCAAAGGTCAACTCAAGTGGCTCCCTTTTCTATTTCCAGCCGAACCTCACCCCCACCTAAAGGAACACTTCAAACTGGCAACCAAAAGGAGGTGAGCTTGCTTTTTTCGGGCGCTCTGCGCGCTCCAACCCGCCATCCTCATTTATCCCATGTTGTGCAGTAGCTGTGTCCAGCAAACGTTGACATTACCAGTGTTCTGAACCTGCCGGCTTCTTGAGGCTCCCACTTTTGGAAGTGGTTTGAAGGGACATGAAACGGACACCGCCCAGTGTCCACCTTCTGTCTCTTACCTCTTGGACTCTACCACCCCTGATACGTGTGGTCCTCCTTTTCAACCTGATGACATCCGTGGAACGACCCCCAAATGCCCCTTTGGTTTCATTTTGGTTTCCGAGAAAACAGCCAGACGCCCCAAAACGGCCTTTCACTCGAAGAAAGACATACCGGGTCCCCCTCCTTGAAACCCCAACCGGCAAGACCATGATCCCCTATCCCTTTTCAAGGTACTGTGGTTTGCAGGTCCAGGCACATGGGTAAAAATTTCAAGGAGACCCTTTAGTGGATATCATTTACATACCGTGTCTGCCCACCAACCATTTTCGAGTACTTCTTGAGTGGACAAAAGTCCAAACCATTCTGGGCCGTCCTTAGATCCCCTGCTAAAAGTTTCACTTTTAGTGGGTTGAATAGGAACCATGGCTTAAACCTAAAACCTAGAAATTCAACCGGACGGCTGTGCACCGCCAAGTTTTTCTTTACCGAAAGTTCGCAAAGTCCCGAAACTTAGGGAGTGACTGGTCCAGATACCCAAATGGGTGGAACCCATATGTGCGTCAAAAATAGGTACCCAGAATGGAACCCTGGTAAATGGCAACAAAGACTAAAAACACCTGCGGTCCCCTGGTGGTCAAAAAAATGACCCATACAAATATTTTCCTTTGTATGTATGTACGTACGTACGTATGTACGTACGTATGTCCACCCAGAGTGACCCCATCTACTCACAGCCATAGCCCAGTGCCCTCCACCCTCGCCTGCTTCACCGAGGAGGCGAAGCGCAGGGTGCCTGGATTTGAATAGCGAAGCAGCGAGTGAAAGAAGACGGGCCGTTTAGAGGGACCCTCCCCAAAAAACAAAACGATCACAAAGGACCGCTGAATTTGACGTCCCCTGCAGTGCTTGAATGGATCCCCGACGGAGAAAGGACCAGGCTTCTTCAGCCGCTAACCCTTGGGGGGATCTTGGAGAGGCGGAGTCGGGTCGGGCAATTGGGCTCGTTTCTCAACACTTGTGTCCCTCGCTGGCGCACAAAATTGCTGGATGAGGTCGGACTAAGCTCCTTTTGCTTGGTTGGCTGTTCTTTGGCTTCTGTTGTTTGTCTCTGTTTGGGCACTGGTTTGGATTACTTGGTTTGTCCTGTCACTCATCACACGGTTGCAAATTGCTTTTGACGGCGATGCTACAGTCTGCTTGAGGGAATCCACTGCACAATCACAGTTTCTGTTGTCCTAATCTCTGGAAAGGCGCTTCTAGCTGAGCACATGGAATTGGAATGTGCCGAAGTCAGGCTGACTTTTGGTTCTGCCAAGGTTGCAAACAATCTATATGGGCCTTGTCAAGTCAACATAAAACCTACTGCCAATGCGGACTGTGCGGTCTGCCCAAGTGACTTAGAATCAAAACCTGGCATTCAAGTGGTCTACCCAAAACCGTGGACAGAACTACAAGGTGGGATCTCCGCACCTACCCTTCACTGGTCCGGGTCTTGGATTGCGATTGCATTGTGCTTTCTTGCTGCGATAAGTAGGGCTTCAGGGAATGAACCCGGGGGTCCCCTTACAGGAAACCACAAGGGGATGTGTGTTTTAGGGCCACTCCATTTCTCATTCCCTGCATCTCTCGCAGCAATCAGTCAAAGTCAGAAACTGGAATGGGTCCTTGCCCTAAAGGAAGCCACCACAAGGGGATGGGCTCAGAAGAGTCACTCCATTTCTCGTTCCCTGCCTATCGCACCTGGAATTGGTGGGGATGGTTTAAAAGGGGCATTCCATGTCCCATTCCCTTCGCACCAGAGAGTCTTGCGCAGAAAAAAAGACCAACCCTGCGGAGCCGCTGATGGTCTCGTCCACGTTGATCGCCGCCGGCGAGATGGCCGCGACCTGAGCCGTCGAGCCGAGCGGCCGAGGGCCCTCGATGTGGCGCCATCGAATGTCCTTGGCCCACGCCTGGGGTAAAGAAATGTGGTAAGAGAATAATGGCAAGAACAATATATATATATATATATATGTTATATATATATATAACTACAAACAAATGTGGTAATAACATACTCCTTTGGATGGTTGCGACATCTGTTCGCACCACTTTGAAACCAATGGACACCCGTCCAACTTAACCCCAACCTAATCCCCCACCTAAACCAAGCCTGTAATTGCCCTGAAGCCCTCGATCAACCCCAAGCCCAAGCCCATTGAACCCAAGCTAAATTCAACTGACATAAAACCGGAAACCTCAAACACAAGCCGAGGCGGGTTGAGCATTTGCTTTTCCAAAAAGGCGAAACCATTTTCAGGCCACCTTTAAACTGCTGCAACTGAAGAAGAAAGAGATGAGGTTGCAGACATTCGATCCTGGCCGAAGACCCGCGCTGCATGAACCGAGCCATTCTTAAAAGAGATAACCCACCCCCCACCCACCCAAAAAGGGTAGAAAAACTGCAAAACGGTCTGCGTTGGTTCCCTTTGCCAGGGATACAAGCGCCCGAGGGCCCTGATGCCAACTAAAATTCAAAATCAGGATAGAACTGTCCCCAACTTGAACCAAGAAGGGTGGTAGAGCCATGTTCGAGCCATTTCTGGCCGGGGACTGTCATTTGCCTGGGGTTTCTGCGCGATTTGTTGATCCCTGGCCAAAAGCAACCAACCTTGAACGGTATCTGTCATAAAGGCCTCTAAACGCCAGAAGTGCCGCCTCATCCCTAAAAAAAAACCGCGGACGCGGCCGCGGACGCGGTCCATCGCGCGCTTCAGTCGAGCGCTTCGAGCGAGATCAGCAAGCGGGGCCCCGGGCCATGCGGCTGCGGCTGTTCCCGGCCAAGGAGTCCCGCAGCAGAAAGGTGAGCTTCGAGGCGCGGAAGGGCACCGCCTCCTGCCCGTTCCGCTTCGATCTTCCGCGTTCGGTCGCTTCCGCGTCCGGTCGCTTCGGCGCTCGCCGCTTTTTTCGCCGGGGTTCTTCCTTTTTCTTTTCGGGCTTCGGCGGCTTGAGGCGATGTTCGGCGGTCGGCGTCGAAGCGGTTTACGGGACAGGCGCGGGAAGCGGGAAGGGACCCCATCCGAAGAATTGGAAGAAGAAACGACAAGAAGCAAAATAAAGGAAGGAAGCCGGCAGACACAATGGGAAAAAAAAGAAAGCCGAAGAATTCGGGATCTAGCTACCACTTAGGGTGCGAGTTTGATGGCGGCACCAAAAACGGTTTCATGGGCAAAGACAAGTTGGAGCTGCCCCTTGGCCCCTTGGTTCTGGAGGCGTTTGGAAGCTCCAGTTTGCCCGTCGGGTCACTCTCAGTCTACGGCAAGTTGTCAACACATAGACCTCCACTCCACCAAGGCCCAGCCATTTGGCCTACTCCCGAGCCTTGTGATATCCCGACCCCAAGACACATATGTCACATACTCATCTTTGTTCTCCTTCGGTTTCCCTGAGGCTTTGTGAGCTCCCTTGTGTTGCTCATATAGTGTAACGCTCCCTTAGGTAGCCCGGCCAAAGGGACCTGAAAATCACAGGTCAAGCTTTGAACCCTTCCATGGTTGTCTGCCCCTCTAAATCGAGCAAAAACTAAGCCTAGGTGATATCCCCAAGAGCAACCGGGACCGGAACCCTTCCAGAACCCGAACAAGCAAAGCTGCGAGCTGTTTCGGAGCCCTTGAGAAGAGACCGCTGGTGTGGAACATTTTTTGAACCCCATTTCAAGCAGCCTCCCTTGGGGCCCAAAAACCACACACGCACGGACCTAAAGGTAAACCTGGTCTCCGGACTCTGATTTGTTGGAATGGCTTTTGAAACCAAAAGGGAAGTCGGAAAGCTATGTTGGTGTCCGATGTGCGGGTGTGCGATTCGTAACTTTGGGACATACATGCTACACAATTAGGACCCCTCTTTTGCCATCCAGGCACCACCTAACACAGATTGGACGTGTTTAAGCTTGGGCTTGGGGATAGCGGGACATTCCCGCAAACAAACCTTCTGAGATTTCACTAAGGCCTTCACACCAAAGGACCCGGTGATCACCGTTCCGGTTGACTAAAGATGGTTGAAACTTTTGGGAGAACCATCAAGCCCAAAAGCATTGCCAAGACTGGGAAACCTAAACTTGCTGGTAAACTTGGCCCAACCAGACTATGTTCAGATTATGCTTCATAGTTGATGTGCTCAAAAAAAATCAATCATTTTTCTGAGGAGACCAAAGTGCAGGTCATGTGAGGTCAAATGATGTTGGGCAGGAGGGAAAATCGGCCAAACAAAGCAGCAATGTTTACAACCATTTCCCCGCACCAATTCATGGTTGGAACTGTGCCGTACTAAGCTTCATCTACCCGGGTTCTGACTGTTGCCCTGTTCGCTATGCAATCATGCACAGAGCCTGCATTGCCATGATTGCTCCGTTCCCCTCACTCGCAATGCAAGTAGCTGCCAAGTCACTAAATTAAGAACCTCCCCATGCAAAGAGCCTAAGAACCTTCATCATGAACAATCTGATTTTACTTGAGGAATAAGTGCGTGCCTGTAAGAAAGAACGTGCCCCAACCGCAAATCTTTGTGAGGTGTTGCCCACAGTCGCATGTTGAAAAGTCCCATCCAGGCAACACAACCATCCATTCGAAGGGGCTTTCCATGATTTAAACAAGGGGGGTGCCACAAAGAATACCCTTACCCCAGATACATCACATAGGTTGGTAACCCCCACACATTTTGAAGGCTAAGGCAAACTTAGTCCAAGTAGAGGAATATTTGACACTTTAGAAAACGGGGGTCTAAAAGTTTATAGTAAAACAAATACATAGAAACAATCAACAGATAAGGCAACTGGTAGATGAGAAAACAGAGACGTCGCAGAATCTGCACCAGATGTACACCAAACTGATCCAGCAAATGCTAAACACATAGGCAACGCTTCTCAACCCTTATGTAAACTGAACTCAGCTCGCTTGATGTACTAGGTCCTCCAGTAGAGAGGTTAGAATAAGGGTACCAACATTTTTCTGCAGTCTATTTTAGTAGGGGAACCCTCCCCCCAAAAACGACACGGGCAACAGGGCGCCTAGCTGGGGGACCTAGTGTACCTCGATGTGCAAAGTTTACAATTCCTAAACCTGAAACAAGGGGTCTCCAAGTGGAGCGCCTGAGGTTGACCCCAGATGAATCAACCCCTGTTTTAATCATATGGGGCTGTTCCCATCCAAAAACTTGACAAACCCCAAATCCAGGGAGAAGCACCCCCCTATGAATAGGATGATTTTGTCGGATTCATCACTTTTGGAGGGGAACCCATATGAATAAACTGGAGTTGATATGGGGTCAACATTACACCAACACTGTGTTCAGATTCTGCTCCGTACGATTAGATCAACCTTTGAAGAAACAACTACTTGGAGGACCTACGTCTGATAAATCCCTACTAAATCCCGGGACAACCCCCTATTAATAGGGTGATTTAGTAGAACCCAGAGGAGTCACAGTCACAAAGCCTGGTACAAAAATGGTATACCCAGAACCCTGTAAAGAATAAGAATTAGAAAGGCGGCCGCAACTATTTCCGGCTGGGACTGCCCCTTACTAACCCTCATCTACCCGGGTTTTGATTGTGGCTCATATGGCCAGGGGTCAAAATCCAAATCGTACCCCCAGTGAGCATCCCAATCCCCACTAAAATAGGTTCTAAAATGGGTGGTGAATCCTACCCCAACATGGGATCCCAAAACGGTTTTGACAACCACCGCCAATATGAACAACCTGGGGTTGAGTGATACTGTAAATGGACGAAATTCTGCACCACCCAAGAAACCCTGGCAGGATGATTCCCCTGGAAACACCAACAAACAACGCTTTCCCATGGTTTCAAAGCGGTGCGAAATGGATTTCGTCCATCCACAGTATGGGCTCCACCGTCCTTCGCCCCAAATTGGGGGGAAACAAAAAAACGGTGGAAACAAACAAAAAAAAACGTCAGTAAGGCGCTTCGTCTTTTCGGAGAAGGAAAAAAAAAACTCGAAGCGCCTTGTTGGACTCCGGCACCGGGCTCCCGTTCGCCGGGCCCAAGGAGAGGGGGCCGCTGAAGGTGCGCGTCCGTTGCCTCTCGGAAGCGGAAGGCGGCAGATGGCTGTGGTGGTCAACACCGTTTTGGGTGATCCCATTTTGGTAGGTGAATGCACCACCCATTTTTAGTCGGGATTGATCCCATTTTGGTGGGGAAGTGAATTCGCCACCCAATTTAGGACCTTTTTTTAGTGGTTGGATTGGGATGTTCACTGGGGATACGATTTGGATTTTGAGCCATGGCCATATGTCATAAGCACTAGTTTCTTATCTAAAAGCCTAAAGGTCTAAAACTTGTGGGCTAAACTTGTAGGGCTAGACTCCAAAAGCCAAACAAAGTGTAAGGGTGTAGCACACGCCGCGTCTTTGTTTTTTGTTTTTTTTTTTTTTTTTTTCGGTGTAACCCCGTTCTGCAACAACTGGGTTGAAGGGATGCTCGGAAGTGAGCCACGCTGCTCTGCAAAGCCTCACTGGGATGATCCCGTCACAAGGGTCATTCCCCAGGTGAGGGAAGCCAAAGGAAACGAAACCCATGTTTTGCGCGCAGTTCACGGGCAAAATATGCTGTTCCCCACAAAGGGCATGGGGCAAATGGTATGATTGTTGTATGTTTACAGGCATCTGGGTACGGCTTTATATGTTTGAATGGTTTGACAGAAAACAAAACAGACCAGGGAGAGAGATCTTCAGCGAAAAGACAATCTCTCCTGCAAATTAACGTGGAAGCTACCAAGGCCACCCCTCAATTCCTAAACAGTGGTGCGGTTTGGGTCGGGGGGGGGGGGTTTGGGTCGGGGGGGCGGGGGTCCAGGAGAGTAATTACCGTGCACGCGCTGTGCAACCTAGGATCCGGGAACCCCGCTTGCTAAGACAACATACCATGGGTCTAGCTCTAGCGATATACTACCTATATGGGGGTTGTCTTTTTGTTGAGGGTGCTTCGGGGTTGCTTTTTTTAATGGACCCCCGCACCCCAATTGGGGTCCGTCTACTTGAAGACGCGATCAGCTATGTGGATATAGTTTGGAGTCATGAAGGGTACATCCTCAGGGAACATAACAACAGTCCCGGGACCCCTTGGCGGACACCATAAAAGCACGGCAACTCTGCAACCACCAACCGTTTGCTTCAAGTGACTCATATCCCTGGATGCTACAACCTTGAGCTACGGGGCACACCCAAGCCAACGGGGCGACCAAACCCATGTAAGGCAGGGGATACTCACCGGTTGTTTCTGGAAAATAGTCAATAACCAAAATGTCGCTCCCATATGAACCATAGACTACTGGAAAACTTGATATGTGTGCCAGGTCGCAAATCACTAGGATCCTTTGCAGGAGTTGAGGACCATCCATGCTAACCTCCAAGGGTTGTTTGCCCATCGCCATGCGGAGACTGGTAGACATTTACACGGTTGGATTTCTGCAACCGGAGTTCCAATCGTTCTATAAATCCAAATAGCCACGCAAACCCAGGGGAACCGGCTTGATTTTGAGAAAGAAGAATGGTGAAAATGAACGGGAGTTTCGATCACCGCAAACCACCCAGGTAAAAGAGGTACAAGAGGGTATACAACCCTTTCCCTGCTACCAAGTTGGTCTATCCCTGACTCTTTGTCACTGAAAAGCAAGGGTATCTCACAAAGTGGCGCATCCCACCCAAGTGTCCATGAGCTTGACAACCAAAACAGATCAGAAACAACAACCATCCAATCGCTTCGGACCCCCCCACCCCAGCCCCGCAGCCCGGACCCGTCCCCCCCAAATCCGACAAACCTCCTCGCCTGTTGAAGGATCTCGCCTGCTGCTCCCCGAGCTCCTTGATGACCTTTTTGCGCCGTGAAGTCAAGTGTCAGATGAGAACATTGCTCGGATCAAAACCGACGAAATAAGCCTGTATATATATATATATATTGATTACATGCATATTTATTAGATATATATATATATATTACATAGATACATGCGGCGGATCCATACACGTACGTTATACATGTGAGACACATACAGAAACGTCCTTTTCGGGATTGGAGCCCAGTTGGGGTGCCAAGTTAAATTGCATGGGCGTACATGGGCCATCGGTATGAGCCCTTTGGATATTCAAATCTCGGCCAACCATGGCTCGTGTTCCTCGCCTAATCCATAAATACAATATGTGATGTCTGCTAATCAGGGATCCCCAATCAAAGCATCCCTCAAACCCTCCCGATCCCCCACCCCCCACCAACACCAAACCTTGGGGGGGCCGTTTGGAGGGTTGATTTGTGGTTGAGCCTTCTGAAGACAAGGTGGGTCCATCGCCCTTTGCTTTGGGCTGGCACCGCACCGTTGATTTCCGTTCAGGCAATGTTCCCAACCCCAGGCTCCGCGCGTCAACTTTCCTCATCCCTAAAGTCTTGGGGCATCGGGGTGGCTGGATATCAGGCGTTTCCTAAATGTTGGAACCCTTTCTCAGGCTAAGGAAAACAAACCTGGAAGGGATCCCACTCCAATTTGAGGGAAAATGGAAAAGGCCCTGTGCTGCGATACTGTTTCGCGGATTTGCTCTGCGATTGAAGACTAACGGATGGTCACTTCTGGGTTAATCCCAAAGCAAACCGCTGCAACGGGAGATTCAGTGTTTTGCTACCGCAGTTCCATGGTACTGAGACACCTTGTCCCATCCTGGCAGTAAATTGTCCATGTCAAGAAACAAGTGCTCCCGACATCCGGATCGGAAGGGTAGATTGCAACCCGAACGGAAGAAGCAGTCCAAATTTCCATCCATGTTTGGTCATCCTCAAGCCACCGGAGCAATCCTGTGCAGGACCTTCCTACAAGGGAGCGGTAAATGAAACTAAAGGAAGCTAGCCCAATGATGATCCAAGTCTTTGCCTTCTCACCTTTGGATTTGAGTGGTTAGAACAAATCCCTGCGCTTTGTGTGTTTACTAATTGTCTCTTCCCGAAAAGCCTCAGAGAAGGAGACGGACACTGTTCGGACAGAATTCTGATATACCCATCTTACCTTGCTCGCTCAGTACGAAGGGGAAGTGAGCAATTCTGCCCGGTCCCAGCGGAATAGTGAGTTGGATGTTTGTCCGCAACCCGAAATTGCCAAGCCCACCCTTCCCAGGCCCTCTGAGCAAATTGGAACATGTTGCAGCCACCATAAAGAATCCACTTGCTGGCAGGGAATGAGGGAATGACCCTATAAACCATCCCTTGTGACTTCCTTTACGAGGACCCCTTGGTTCATTCTCGCATTCCCTGCTGAGAACCAGCAAGTCAAGAAGTAAATCGAAAGCTAACAAAGAGACAGCTCCCCTTGATTTGTCGGCAAACTCCACAAGAATCCCAAACAAACGGCCTTACATCATGGTGACCTTGCTTCCCCGCGACTCGGTGCGCTCGCCAAAGAATATAGGCTATATGAGTGTGGCTCAAAATTCAAGAGCAACGGTTACGCAGATTTTAGTCTTTGGCCCCATTTACCAAAGGGGCCATTTGGGCACATTTGTTTGAGCCACTGCCTTATAAGCCGCCGAACCTGCCTTTTTGAGTTGCCAAGAGGCGAGGGCAAGGGCTGAGAGGCTCTGGTTGATGGCGCAGCCTGGCGAGGGAGCGGTAAAGGAGTCCCCCGAAGTAACGAAGCACAAAGCTTCATCCCGGTGAGCTCGTTTTACCCCCAGGTGAGCTCGTTGGTTTGTCTTGTTTCAAACAACGCAGCTCGAGACCATTTAATCACTGCCAAAATGGAAGCCGAAGGGTCCGAATCTAGTTGTCTTCCATTGCAGCAGAAGCAGTCGCAAAGGTTTAACCGAATGCCAAGACAAATCCGGCAAAGGTGACGGAAAACCTAAGCGCAAACCTCTTTTGCGGGTCGACATGCCGGACATTCAAAACGCTCGGAGGCTTGGTCATAAGGTTTGCTCCGCAAACACACCAACACTTTTGGTGGGGTTCCCCGCACACAATCATATACCTTATCATGAAACCTGTTCGACTCGACATGGGGTGTGTATCTTTGTGAAATTGAGGTTGAGGTTGGTTCTCTGGGAAACCTGCGGCGCATCCCATCCTCAAAGCCACCGGGATCATCTGCGGCGCCTCCTTTCGCGACCAGCCGAATCGACTCCGATGGCCTTCTTTGAAGGTGGCACCCTGGCTGTCCATGTGCTTGTGCCGCTCGGAGCCTGGCTTGATGCAAAAACAACTTTGAGCTGGCAGGGAACCTTGGGATTTGAAAAGGTTTGGGAATCAAAAACCGGGTTCTTGGAAGGGGGTGTTTAGGAAGCCTGAAAAAAACCTAGCTCATCTCCCCCCCATCTCCCCCTCCCCGTCAGACATCCGCCCTAGCAACTGCACAGAATCAAGCCGGAAGGAAACGCGGAGAGCTTGCGAAGCAAGCGCTCGGCTCGGAAGTTGACTCAAAACCCCAAAGTCGTCGTGAGATCTAGTGTTCTTTGAGGGTTCTCACCTGAGATGTTGTTTGGTGTTTCGGGCGCAGGCAAAGATCGTAAAGATGGACCCTGAGCTCTCACATCCCCCGGAGAACCACAAGTTTACAGGGAAACTGGGTGCCTATTATAGGCGGTCCGGAAAGGTTGAGGGAAAAACGCACAAGCCCTTGGTGGTTTTCTTTAGCGATAGTCACACATTATGCGCTATCTTTACCACCCAGTAACTTGACAAATTACTACGATGCCCGAACTGGAAATAGGAGAGCCCTTAGGACAGGACGGTTTGCTCTAGGCACAAACTGCCAAGCCAGGCACGCAAAAGCGAGGCGTTGGTTCTCCAAAAGTTGGGAAGTGTATAGACTCATTCTCCTTGGCCAAGACGCCCAGGATGCAAAGACTCATCGGTCCGGCTCAAAGTAGGGGGCGTCGGCTCCAAGGCCGGCCAAGCACGGAGGACCCGCGCCAAGCTCGGCTGGTCGCTTCAAAACCGGACCCCTGTCAGAGTCAAGGAGCGATAAATCGGCCATGAAAGGCTCGAACCCCCAGGCCCCAACGATGGCGAGGCCGCGCGCTTTGCATGCGTACACTGCACATCCCACTTAGCTGCCAGAGCGGTTGCTAAAATTGGCCGGAGCGAGGCGGGTTTTAGCTTTCAACATCTCATGCGCACAGGAGTGGTATACGGCTTGCCAGTGGGCTGGGTCCGGAAAAAAGAAGGGACTTGAAGCGGAGATGAAGGGCGTGAAGCATTGAGGGACTGGACCAACCATATGCTTCAATATACTTCGCATGGTGCTGTTGAAATTTAACGGCATCATGCATATGAGTAGTTTGAACAACATTTATGCACCCCAACCACCGCCTCGTTTGGGCCTCAATTTGCAGGCATGGGGCTCTCACCCAACCAGCCCAGCATTTGTGCCCGGGTTCCAAAACCCAACACCAAACTTCCAACTTGAACAACTCCTCATGTTTCCAGATCTTTCTTGGGACTTCCAAAACAAACAAAGAAGGCGGCTCCTCTTTTTCCAGGTTCTAGCCGGGCCTTCCAAAACAAAACAAGCTGGCTGGGCCTTCCCAAACCAAAGCACACACACACACATCTTTGCACAGGGACCCCTCAAGCCTCGCTCCTCACCCAACGGCCCCGAAACCGAGGGCTCCTTGCTCTCGAAGCGAATCCGCCTGCCAGGTCCACCAGGTTCATCCGCGCGTTCAGCGCCTCCGAGCGCTCCCCCCGCGGCAAGCGCTGCACCTGGCGAAAGGTGCGGAAACGGAGTGGGGAGGGACAAACAGCGGGAGTTGGCAGTCCCTTGTTTGGCTGAAGATCTCAAGATTGGCACACTTTTCTGAGTGATTGGACATCGAGATTGGCACACGTGTTTGGCCGATTTTCAAGATTGGCACCCTTTGTTGGTTGATTTCCAAACAAAGGAAAAGAGGGCACCACTGCAGGCCCCGGCGGGATGGGGCTACACAATTAGAAAAAAACAAACTGAGTTTAGTCATGATTCAAGGCAATCCTATTCGTGATTATTCAGGCCCTGATACTAAGCAAACCAAAAGACCACTTTCAGAGCCGGCTCTTATCCTTATGAGGCTCTGGATTCTGAGAACTTTTCTGGAAGCTGAGGCTAGGCCATGGAAGGGTTGTGGCCCATTGTCCTCAATGGTCCCTAATTAGTCACTAAGTTACTGGTATTGACCCAACATTGATCAACCAATCAGTTTATTACTAGGGGGCTGGGTTGTGTTCCCCTCCAAAATAAAGCGGCAAGAGATGTTTAGCAAAACATACTTGAACAACTTTCTGAGCCCCTTCAAAGGGCTACCCCCCCACATCTACCGTGCCATCTACTGCTTATTCTGGGTGCAAGGGGCCGGCTCCAACCCGCCTTCAGAATGAAGACGGCGTGGCTGCGGGAGGAGGTGTTGTTCATGATGGTCGCGGAGGTGACCTGAAGAAGCGGTCGTCCGCCTTTTGCGAGGCGTCTTGCTTGGCTTTGCAAAACCCGCCAAAAGGATGTAACCAAGGCTAGGTTCAGGCCATCAGCCAGTTAAGTTGTGTTCAGCCCGGTGCGTCAGGCTGGCTGGTTTTGTTGCGCTAACTTGGTTTAGGCGTGCGATGGCTTGCCGTCTAGGGGCTTGGTTTGCGTCTAGCATTGGTGGTTTGGAGCAACGCCAGCAGACATGCAAACAAACACATTACATGGCGTCTTGTGCCTAAACATCCAACTAAGTGACCATCGTCACTCCTTTGGTTTTCTGCGGCACGTCGCACATGCCTCGGATCACAGGTGACAACCCTTGGTCGCCAAAGACGCCGGCTGGCCCAAGTTTCGCCGCCGTAGGCACTGCGGTGTGCCTCTCATTTCTTTCGGAGCCGGGCTAGACATACAATAGTAATGATGAAGAACATGCTCTTGCCTATGCCCGCGCGTTCCCCGTTCCCCCCCTCCCTGAAGTCCTAAAGCAGGGATCCTTACATTATACACCTGAACATTGCAACTTGTCAATGGTAGTTTCCCTTTATTTTGGTGTTGAAAAAGCCACATGTTTCAACTGGTTGCAAAATGGGAGATCTTTTAAGGAGCCCTGTAAAGTTCGTCAGGAAACCCCCGTCCACCAACCGCCATCAAGCGGTTGCTCCCATGAAAACAAATTCGCGGCTTTTGGCTTCTGGAAGAAGGGCCCCCGGCCCGCTTCTTGAGCCCGAACTTGATGAGCTTCCTGACCTCCGGCACCAGTGCGCGAGTGGGAGCCCTCCATTGGGTTCCCGACAAGAAAAGCCATAGGAAACCCACGGGAAAACCATGGGAAAACCATAGGATGGCATGGCAAACCATGGGGAAACCATGGGAAAACCATGGGAAAACCATGGGAAAACCATAGGATGGCGTGGGAAAACCATGGGAAAGCACAGGACACCCGTAGTCATCACACGACCCCCTGCTCTGACCCCCAACACACAACCTACGGAGGAAACCGCGGGGTGGGGGGGGGGGGGTGGGGGTGATCCTTTGAACTCACGGGTTGAAACACGGCACCCAGGCGCCAAAGCCACACTTTGCTCGAACCCATTCTCTAAGACCCACTTGTTGTGACCCGTTTTAGGTCTTACCTCCAGTGAAAACAACTGACTACGGTTTTCTGTGATGTCCCATTAAGACCAAGAACGGACGGTCATGAGTTGCCAAGGAAAAGGGCCCCTTTTTTGCCAAGGGGTACCTTTGAGTTGGCCAAGGGGTACCAAGGGGTACCAACCCAACAAAGAACAACAGACCTGCTCACCCGTGCCTCCAGGGCGGTCTGGCACGCGGCCTCCACAAGGCCGGGGATGATGACACCCAGCGCCGGGTGGTCCATGATCCTCGACCCCCCAAAGCGGAGATTCGCGGCCGTGGGTCGGCCTTGTGGGCCCTGGAAAACACCGGCGGACTTAGACCCCCCAGAAGACGTGAACGGGTGTTTGCGCAAGGAAGTGAAGGGAATCCAAGACAGGGCGAAAAGGTGTCTGGCAAGGTCTATGGGTAAGTTCCAGGCATGTCCAGAAATCCTTCTTTCAAGCCAGCAAACCCGGGGAGGAGTTGAAAAGCACGATGCTTGAAACAAATGGGGCATTCACCCCTACACACATTGCACCCTCAACCGGAAAACTCCCTTGTGCATGGCGACATGGGACTGCAGTTGGATCCTTCCTGACCAAAACCCAGAACCGCAAAGTCTTTCTGTAGGTTGGTTGTGGGGAAATGATCACGTCTGTGATACAAGAGAAAGGTCTTCCCAAAGACGAACTAACCCCCACATAATGGGGAAATTCCCTTGTATCACAGAAGTTGGGATACACCCCTCGATCCCACAACCCTGCACAAGGCGGTCGTGGATAGATCATAACTTATCATTGGGTTGGTTACCCACTTGCCACAAAGGCGAGCAAACTTTCAACACAAATACACACATGCAAACAACAGCGGGCAAGCATGGCCAAATGAAACTGCTCATGGTTGCTCCAAGAGGGCGGGCGCTTCGGGGCCCTTCCTAACGGACCCACGGACGGGGTATTTCTTTTGCCCTGTGGCTCTCGAACTGCAAGCTCTTCTTTCCCTTCACCATCCGCGGGGTCAAAGCCCTATCTTATTGTTCATCTAAGAGCGGGTGCCCACTTTCTCAACACTCCGCAAAGTTGTTTTTTTTTTTCCGGCTCAGCTGTTGGAGCAAAAAACTCGTTGGCCCTTCCACGGGTTCTGCACTCATTGAGTGTCAGCAAAGGGGTACAAGTTGACACTGCCGGCTCCTTGCTTTCTTAGATTCTTCCCTTTGCCACTCGGGCCGAAGACCTGCTGATGAACCACTAGCGGCTTCATGGGGCAACCACAGGGCACAAAAAGGTCGTGGGCTGAAACGCATCTTCGGTCACAAATACTCTGGTCCATTTGAGCGTGCCATGGGGGGACCTAAATTCTAAATTTCAACCACGAAACCCCAAACCCGCCCAATGTCCAAGTCCTCTTGAGGAAGCCTTGGCAATTTTCAATTGGGGACCCCGTGTCACAGATCCGTAGATGTGGACATCATTTAGGGAAACTCCGGCATTTGGCTGTGGCCATTTTGGGGTAGGTGCACCGCCCATTTTAGTCGGGATTGGGATGTTCACTGGGGGACCCATGGCCACTTACATGGGGATTTCGGTTCGACCTCTGAGGCGGTTCCCTCTGAAAATCAAAAAACATGATATACATACATATATATATATATATATGGTACAGCGTTGCCAGCCCCCCCCCCTCCCCCCCCCATGGTCATGGGTCAGACAAGCACCCCCCCCCCCCCTGTGGTTGTGGTCCTGTGGTTGGGTTGTGGTGGTTTAGGGTTGGCTTAGAATTGGTTTAGGGTATATTTAGGGTGTAGTTTAGGGTTGGTTCAGGGTTGATTTAGGTTGATTTATGTTGATTTAGGGTTGGTTTAGGGTTGGTTTAGGTTTAGAGGTGTACGGTTTAGGGCTTGGTTTAGGGTTTGGTTTAGGGTGTATTTAGGGTTGGTTTAGGTTTAGGGTTTATTGTTTAGGGATTGGTTTAGGGTGTATTTGGGGTTAGTTTAGGGTTGGTTTAGGGTTGGTTTAAATTGATTCAGGGTTGGTTTAGGTTTAGAGGTCTACGGTTTAGGGTTTGGTTTAGGGTGTATTTAGGGTTGGTTTAGGGTTAGTTTAGGGTTGGTTTCTGGTTGGTTGCGGGTTGGCTTGTCCTGGGGGTGGGGGTGCAAGGGTGTCGGTGTCGGGGTGCGAGTTCAGGGGGTAGGGGTGGGGGTGGGACCGTAGGTGCCAGCATCCGGGGGCTCGGGGTCTCAGGCCGGGGGGGGGGGGGTCCTGGGGGACCATACCATATGGGGGGGGGGGGGGGGGGTAGCAACACGGAACACGGGACCATATATATGTATGTAATGTTGTTTATTTTTTATTGTATATATATGTATATATATATATATCTAGAAAAACAAAAACTCAGAAGCCTTTGACTCTCGCCGTAACGATCCCCGTCCTCAGGGTGCTCTGCTGGTCCTTCACCAAGCTCGAAGGCTCCAACAAGTCCCGAAGCCTGGGACGCCCAACCCCTCCCCCACGTGTTTAAAGACCCCAAATTGTGGCTTTAGTTGTAGGCCATAGTTGGAGGAAACCACAGGAATGGCTAAGCTAGTTGACGGAACAGTCATCTAATAGTCATCTACTGCAGCGACAGGTTTAACATTATAGCTCGAAGGGGGCAGCCAGGGTTCTTTCTATGTCCCCGCATCGCCAACAAGACCCCCCCTCCCCCCGCCCAGTGACCAGTAGGGAACAATTGACACAAATTTCCAGCAGTTGATGTTGAAGGGAACCCCCTTCAAAAAAAGAAGAACGGGCACCACTGATTGTCTGGGTAAAGTCACCCGTGGGAAATACAAGGACCCCCGCTAAACCCCGGCTTTTGTTCTTAGGTCCCCCGAGGTCGGCTTTCGCGGGAACCAGGTGGATGGGCGCAAATCTGCTGGGAAGCTGCCGGCAGGCCGATTGAAGGAAACCCGGCATTTATTGGCTACGGCATGCTAAGATTGTCTGACCCACAGAGGTGACTCGCCAGTAAAAGTGGTCAAACTGTTTGGACCTTTGCTAAAATGACACTAAAGTTTGCAAGGTGCTAGAACAAGGGACCCATTTGATTGGCTGGAAGGAGCCCAATAACCAAGCTGCCACGGTCCCCAGTTTCTAGTGTTCGAGGCCCGAAAAAAAAAAAAAAGGACACGTGATATGTAATTGAACAACCACAATGCAAATTATGCATGTCCCATGGCTTTATCGTTTCATCCGGCTTCCACAACAGAAACCGGCCAGTCAAAGACAGAAAACGGCAACCACCGTTTTCAACCCCTAGCTTGCGGGTGTTTCTGAAAATGGTGGATCCCTTGGACCCCCTTGGAAGGGAAACCCACAGGAAACTGCTGCCATGTACCGATTCCTTTGAAAAACATCTCCAATGGGAAAACCCGGTCGTTTTCCTTCGGCTTCCCTCTAAAACCAGCCCCAAACAGGGCACCGACTCCTACTACCTTGAGACACACCCTGCACATCCTTTTTAGATATGTTCGCCTTTTTGCCACCATGTTCAACCTGAAAAAACAGCGGAATCCGCCAACTGGTCCACTTACTACTCCACCCCTTTTCGGCTTCAAGCCAAACCCAAACTGGCCGTGATCGACCTCCAAAATCCACCCACAGGCCGGCTCCCAGGACCGAGACGCGTCTCGTTGTAGATCTCCACAAAGGAGGCCCAGACCCGCAGCTCGTCCCCGTCCCGGGCCACCCGAGCCTTCTGCTCGAAGAGGTCCTCCGACGAAAAAATGCGGCGGGGCCCCTCAGTCGATGAGTCTGTGACTGTGGCTCAAAATTTCACAGGAGGGGCAAACCGCAGGCTTCGGCTTGCCAGGTTTCCTCTTACCAGGCTTCCATTTTGGGTACCGTTTGTTTTTTTTAGCCACAGCCATGTGGCGCCCTAGGTCGATTTGGGTTCGTCTTGCTGGTGCATAGGCAGGGAATGAGAAATGGAATAACCCCTGTAGAACCATCCCACTGGTGGCTTCTTTTGAGGGAATCCGCAGGTTCATTCCCTCATTCCCTAGTGAGCACCAGCAAGTAATGGCTCAAACCAGTCTAACCCATAGAAGCTTGGGGGGGGGGACCGTGAATTGGGGGACCCTTCAAAGGATACAATGCAGTTATAGTGGCACTATATATATATATACGGACACCGACATGGGTGTGTCTATTTTGAGAGTACCCTTTTAACTCAAGGAAGGAAGCTGTTTTTGTGTGGGCCCCCTATTTGCAGGCAAAGTGTTCAAATCTCTGTAAGGGGTTGGTGACCATCCCTACCATCATCAAGGTTTACATAAGCGTTTCCATACCCCCATTAAAGAACCTCCTACTACAACGGTCATTGGATTTTGGGCGCTCATGTGTTGTCTTTCCGAGGATCCAACTTGAGGACGAAAGTGAGAAGACTCGCAGAATCAGGCGTGAAGCGCTTTTAGCGGGATATATGATATTTTCACATATACATAGTTATATAACAGTAGGTGTGTCCTGTTTTGGGAAAACCCCAGAAAGGGTGTTCCTCTTGCCTTTTTGTGTGTTTAAACCATCCAAAACACGGTTCTCAACTCCAAGACCCGCTACGGCCGGTCCTCCACCGCGCGGGGAATGACCCCGGGCTGGTCGCCGTAGCCCATCCTGCCGGCCCGCCGCAAAAGGGGACGAAGCTTCCAGGGGTTGATTCCTGTTTTTGGGGTGTCTTGTTGTTTTTGGGAACCTTCAGACTGCAGCCGTTTTCCTTTTTTTCTTTGGTGTCTTGTTTTTTTGGGGGAACCCTTTTTGGGGTGGTTTTAAGGGGACGCCAGAAGGAAGACCGACAATTCTAGGAGTTGATTCCTTGTCCATTTTGTTCAACCATCGCTCTTTGCAAAAAACCAATCGTTTCCCCTGGGAGTTTGATGGTTTCGATTCCCCATTCTTTTCAACCATCGCTCTTTTCAAAAACCAGCCGTTTCACCCGGGATTTGGAGGGTTTCGTGAAAAGAAGGATCCTGGGAAGAATGGGGAAGGTACCCCTAGAAATCTTGGCCAGTCAAGAAAAAAGAATCACATCGCTTGCCCCAAAAAGGGAATGAACATAGAAAGTTCACCTGTTTGGAACCTTGAATGGGAAAACCCAAGGGTCCAAAGGTCTGCCTTGGACAATTGAGCGCTATGTTCAGGCGCTTTTTCATAGTTGGCCGATTTTTAAGACAACATGGTTTTGGGGGCGACTCCAGTTTTGCCTTTAGCCCCCATGGGGGGAGCATTCCAGGATGCCACACACGGCTCCATGTGATATCCGGCCCTGGGTTGAACGGGTGTTCACCCGAAAAATCTAGGTGTTGCTGAAGAACAGTCACAAAACAAGCCTTGAATCCGACAAAGGCTTAGAGCATCATCGCCCAAAAGGATGTGGGTCGAAGGGCACATTTAAAAGTGAGCTTGCAGCAACTCAAAAGAAAGTGGGGGTATCAGCCCGCTATGGGAAAAGAATGGAAAAGCCACCGAAAAGTGGTTCCCCGCACAGCGAGGCATGCGTTGCAAGACGTGTGCGTATTGAAATTTATCGGGGGTCCTAAAAGGAGGTGTCTAGTTTTGACCTGCCAAAGGCACCGGAACTCAACTGATCGAAGAACGCCCAACTTCTGTTCAGGTCCCTCTTGAAGCGGCGGAATCAAGAAGGCTTAACCTGAACCAACAGGGGTGTCCACTTCCGGTTTTCAGGCCCTGTTCCAAGTTAACTCACATCCCCCAAAAATAGTTTGAACCTGCGCAATGCAAAACTTGGTTCGTGGATCCCTTGCTACAAGTGATCAACTTTAGTGGGAATGGTCAGCTTCTGGAATATCTAAACTGCAAACTTGTCTAAGAGTCCAAGGAACCATACTTGCGTGTCTTTTTCTTGACCCCCCAAAATGGCTCCGGCGTTCCTTTTGGCTTCCCTCTAAAACCACTCCAAAAAGGGCCAATCACCTCCAAACAAACCAACTCCAAAAAGAACGAGCCATTATTATGCCACATGGCCACATCCATCCCAACCGACCCGTTTTTTTTGCGCTTCGGCTTCCGTCGAACCCGAAACCCGAAGACCCCGTCATGGTGTGGCTCTTGCCGGCGCCCGTCTGCCCATAGGCGAACAGGCAGCAGTTGTAGCCCTCTAGCGCGGAGGTCACCAGATCGGCGCCTGCGAGAAGCGAGAAGCTTGTGTTTGGATCATAGGTGTCCTTTTCGGGGAAATAGATGGCCCTCAGGTAAACCAGGGCCATCTATTTTTCTAGCAAAACAACCAAAAAGGACACCTATGGTTTGGGTTGGTGTCGCATATTTTGCCTCTTTGGGGGGTTGGTCAAACCGGGAAACAAAACCTGGAAAAACACAACAAAAACACCATTTCGTTGTTGCTGTGTGTTTGCTTTCTTCTTCTTTTTTTGTTTGTTGGGCGGGGGGGTCCACCTGCAAAACTGGAAAACCACCATTTGGGATTTTTGTTTGGCGGGGTCCCCCGGTTTCACGAGCCCAACTTATAGCCCACTTCCGATCGAATGAGTTGGCCCCAAAGGTCTGAGCTTTCTGTTGACTGAATTGATCTTCCCTGAAAGCTTTGAAGTCCAGGAACTCAGCAAGGGATCAACGACTATTCTAAAAGCACACCCACAACATGGATGAGGTCAGCCGAAACCCAGATTCGTGCTCGCGCCAACATCAAAATTCCGCGCTACCAGCCACTATTGCAGACAAGGAGTGAGTTTACTAGTAGTATGGTCCCCAGGATGATGCCCCCGGCTTAAGTTTCCTTGGTCACACTTGGAGCTGCTGAAAAAGATTGACCTTTGCTGATTGAGAGTACGCAGAATACATCCTATGACTTACGTGTTTTTTAATCCGTGCCCAGGGGCTGCCAAATGGATATCATGCCCAACCACTACAAAAAAAATGCCCCTCTTCATATGGGGTCAACTCGAAAGACATCATTACCATCTGACAATTGATTTTATGGCTCTCATGGAGCCTTCTTTCGAGAAAGCCGGCCAAGGCTCAACAAATGCAACCCCTCAGCACAAAACAATGACCCCCAGCAAGCCACCTTATCCCATGACGTAAAAATGCTCCTAACCTTTCCACCACTGTGAGGCCTAAAAGCCTCTCGAGTAGCTTGGAGGGCCGGGATGCCCAACGTAAAACCCCGGGATCCCTTGAGGTGGGATTCAGCTCACTTCGGATCGACTGGGTTGGCCAAACAAAGCCTGAACGTTTTTTGCACTGCAATGCTCTCCCATAGAAAATGCGACAAGGTTCCCTTGAAAAACGACACACCCAGCTCGCCAACCCACTTCCTGGTCGCAACGGGGTCCCGCATCTTACGGGTATATGTCAAAATTGGGGGGACCCAACAAATGGCAGCTTTTTCCTACGGGTTTCCCTGCAGACCGCCCCTCCGATAACCCAAAACACCCAAGAGAAAAACATGGACCCTCCGAAGCCCAGGATCCTTTGGGTCGCTTTGGCCATTTGGCCGCCAATGAAGTCTGCTCAAAGCAAATCGAACGCGTGCCTCGGCCATTTTGCCAGAGGCAACCCTTGCCTCTGTCCAAATTCCCGTTCAAGGGATCCATGACCACCCCTAACCCCACGATGAGATGTTGCAACCATGTCCTCCCTCGCTGGCAAAAAGGGAACCCTTTGGGATTCATAATTTTAGAGGACCCACCAAACAAAAGGGCAAAAGGGTAATAGAAGGGGCCGAACATAGCTGGGGGTTTTGAGGTGCTCTAAAAACGGATTATAGTCATCATAGGATATCCGTGACCAGCCAGTTCACCAGTCTGTTCAGCAGCCATATCATCCGTTGGCTGTAAAGGATAACCGTGTCTAACTGTCTAACTACATAGCCTCTTGTATTCCCACTGAACTGGGCTCGTGCCTATCTCGCTGTAGACCTTCTCTTGAGTGCCCTGGTCATTGCTGACCTCCAGCGAGCTGAAGCCTCGGAAGCGGCGAATGTACGTCCGCCTCCCCGGAAGCAACTTGGGCCAGTCGTTTTGAAGGTTGGACTCCCCCAAAATGCCCTGGCGCCCTGGGGCTTTCCTTTAAACACGGATGGGGGTAAAAAGTTGTTCAACTGGGGGCCAAAATCTCCTCCCTGGAGCAAAACTGGGGTACCCTCAAAATTGACCAGCCACCCATTTGGTGGTTTGGATGCTGGTTTGTCTCCATGAGGCTACAAAGGCACACTCCAGCACGCAGGAGCAACAACTCCCAAGCTGGTCCATAAGGGGGAGTGTTCTTCACCTTTTGGGCAAACACCCCCAAAATGAATCCGCCAGTTTGATTCATGCAGGGTCAACATTACCCATCGGTCGGACTAAGCCAGGTTGGGTGAATCAAAGAAACCAGCCCAGTGACATTTCATGGGAAATTGTTGTCTTTGGCCCAAGAGGTTTCCTCTCATTGGGGGAAGATTCCGCGACTCACGCCTGTTCCTTCACATGCAATTAAACATGACTGTACCCGCACAAACCTGGCACCGGTACAACACTGACTGTTCTTTGCAGACCAAAATCGATCAAAGCCAACCAATCTAAAACACATGCCCAAGTAACTCTGAGGCGGTATGTCAACCTCACATAGTGGCATGTACTCTTTGAGCATCCCTTTACTTCACAGGAACCCAACCCGGCCCCCATCCCCGAACTCCCGATTAGGAGAGCGGACTTGAAACCTATGTCTACGGGAGCTTCCTTCACTGGGGGCTTGTTGTGGCAAATGTGCCTTTTTGGTACCCAGTTTGAGAAACCATGCTACTGCAAGTTGGATTGTTTAGGCCGAACTGGCCACGCCAAAGAGTTGTTGCCCCTGCTGAGCGGTTCGGGAGCATTCGTCCAACATATCCAAAATGTCGGGATGTTTTTCCTATGATATGTGGCCCTTTCAACATCGATGATGTCCACACCCATCAAGAAAAGATCATACTCAGTCAAAAGTTGAAGACTACGCTCTCAAAGCAAAGAGGAACCAAGAAATATACACCCTGCAACTCAGCCCTGGGTCAAACAGTTTTAACAAAAAGCACAGCAACAAAAAACGATATAAATGTCCCCTTTAGCCCAGCCAACCGAAAAGTCCCCCATGTTTGGCCGCGGCCGCCGCAAAGCACATGGCCGCCCGAGATTGGACTCCTAAGGCTGGACCCCTTCCGGATTGGACTTGACCTTGCCTAGCATAAGGGTTACATCCTGATATGGAAGCTCAGGGCAGGTTGGCATTTGTTGCAGCTTTTGTTCAGAGTCCACGAGCGCGGTTTCTATACGGGGCCTGGAGACCTGGGGTTCGGCGCCCTTTTTTGGAGTTGGATGAACTGGAGCACACACCCGGCTGAGCTGCAGTGGTCATAGGTGAAGCTCTTGATCTGCCCGTCCGACGCCTCCGGTCGACGCGGCCCATTCAGAGTGGCTTTTCGGGTTGGGCATGGTCAGAGTGAGTCGTTCCCTTTTTTACGAAGCTTTGCAATTTGTGTTCTAGAACCCTGATTCAGTTGTCGATGACATCAACCAACTCCTAGGAAAAGGGCCCCTTGACCATGGCAAATATGGGTGTGAAACTATGGGAGCCCTAAAAGTAGTGGGTATCCTTTGGACTCCCCTTCGAAGCACCAAAAGCGCACCCTCAAAAAGCACACACCAATGTCCGGGGTCTCCAAAGAGGCCAAAGTGGGTGATTTTGCTTTGCTGTGAAACAAACCAGGAAAGGTACCGATTCCAACAAACGCATGTAGGGCACCCAAGTAAAAGCATCCACCAAGATGCTTGACTGTTTAATGGATCCTACCATTGCCCACATGGCGGAAGTTGTGTTTTCTTCCGAGGTTCGGCAAAAAATATTTTCGAGGTTCAGGACAGCCTGATGCACGACAGCTGCAGAAGGCTCTCTTGTTGAAGAAGTTAAGGGTGGGTTGGGGTCGGTTTAGGGTGGGCTCAGGGTGGATTGGATAGATTTAATAATCGGTTTACGGTGGGTTTTAGGGTGGTATGGGCTTACGGTTGGGCGGGTTTAGGCTTGGCTTGGGAGGGGGCGGTCAGCATGAGTTTAGGGTTGGTTAAGTCTTGGTTTGGTGCTGATTTGGGGTTGGTTTGCCATTGGTCCACAATACGATGACCGACGGACCGACTGGTCAACCGACTGGACAAGTCGTCAGGCAGCAAAGCGTCTCGCCAAACCTAAGAACCCAAACGGGGGACCGCCGGCAATCGCTAAAGTCTTTCGACCGCCGCGGATTTCTTCCTCGAAGTTGCGGTTCCAAAGGTTAAATCAATAGCTCGTCAGTGCAAGGCAATTGGTGCTGTAGTGTGGAGCCAAGGATTTCGCCGCAGTCGCACGCGAATTTCAAAATTATCCCTCTGACTAAACACCGCTAGAACCTCCACCCTTCCCTGTCAACAAATCTCGACTTCAGGCAAGGGGAGCGAGAGAGTAGATTAATCCGGACTCCCACCCATCCATCCCCTGCTACCAAAATAAGATGGATGGGGACCGCGGGCTCGCCGTTTGTTGCGGCATTTGGGCGTGACTCCTTGAAAGGACAGCCAAAAGGAGAACCTGTTGGGGTCCGCTTTAGGTTGTGCAACTCACATTCTCCCCAGCGCCTGCACCACCACGGTCGGCTGGGCCGTAGGCACGCACACCGCGCACCGGGAGACCTGGTCCTCAAGATTTCGGGAGGCAAAGTCAGAAGCTTCGGTTCGGACCCGACATACCTGGTAAACCTCCCTAAGGTCAAGTAAAGAGGAAATAAGCATTTTACACCCCCCCCCCAAATAAAAAACAACAACAACAACAAAACGTTTCAGGTCAATCATCCTGCAGACCAAGGCCAAGAGGAAAAGCAAGCGCCACCAATTCAGACGGTCCAGAGAATTCAGAAGGGCAACCTTGGTCGAGGGAAGGAAAGGAAAGGACCCCTTAAATTGGTTGGGTTCCATAAACCAATTTCGCCCTACCATCGCGCCTCCAAAAAGTGATTGTTGCACCCAAACACGGAGCGACCACAATAGAAAAACAACAAACAATGACATGGCCGAGTTTGGGGGCCTACCGTAAGATATGTAACTTTGCCTATGAATCAGATCTGTAAGTTCTCTACTTTTGTCTGTTCCTTTTCCTGGGGTAAGCGCCCGTGCGTCCTCCGATTCGCTCATGGGCCGAATGCGGATCGCCACATGGATGTTCTCCACCGACATGGCGGCTCGATGAATTCGAGTTCGAATTCGCGACTTTGCTCACGGGTGGAGCGGTCGGCTTCCAAAAACCACGGGTGGGCGCTTATGTTGTGCCTGATCCATGTTTGTCAATGACGCGTTCGTGTTTACGGGTGCTTCCTATGGGTGCTTCTTTTGTTGTGCATGACCCAAACCATCTCTACTCTTGGTATGGTAGCAAACAACTTTGTTTTTTTGCAGACCCCCAGTACAAATGAACAGAACCAAAAACCTAAAAGACCAAAACACATGCCAAGAACAGTGAAGAAAACATGGGTGTTCAGCTCTTGCCCCCAACCTTTCTGGCTTCAATCTGCCCTGCCGAGTTCACGGACCTGGGGGCTCCACAAACCTTCCGCAGGCCCTGCAGAGCTCAGCTGAAAAAAAGACTCTGAGCGACCAAAGGAACTCCAAAAACTTGGGCCTTGGTGCGAGGAAAAAGAAAAAACCACCGCCCAACAGCTCACTTGGCAGGGCTGCTTGGACGCACCCCAACAATTCTCTCAGCTTCCTGCGCTCGCTTCCGGGGAGTGCTGGGTCGCGCCGAAAAGCGAATCGGGTTCGTCTGGCAGGTGGCTTGAAATTGGCTGTGGCGTTACTTGAGTGGCCCGTAGCCCTGTGGGGGCCCAGAATTGTCACTAACCTGTCATAGCCACTCTATCTCTGAGCCGAGATTTCGCCGAGGCCGACAAACTTTCGGTTTGGTCAGAAGCATCAAGTCCACAGGGAGTGAGTTTAAGCAACGGAAAGACCAAGACCGAGCAGCAAAACCGGCCAACCAAGAAAACAAACACTTCAACTAAGAACCAACTCCCTACCCTACAAGCATGCAACTTACTAAGCTCACTTGGATGTGAATGCTATTTTGGGACCCTTTGCTGGACTTCATGTATATAGTTGGGGGGTGCATGTTGTCCACTAGCCACTTCGGAGGTGATACCCTATATATTCATAGCCAATCAAACGGGTCGGCAAACAAACAAAAGCTGGTGCCATTGTTCTGGGTGAATTGGAATCATTAACGAACAAAGAACAGGAAATGGAGCCGCCCAATCTTCATCATGGGGTCCAGAATCGCTCCTGCCCCCCACCCCCCCAACACCCCCGCGGCTGGATCGTTAAGCTTGTGACACTTTTCAACAAGTTGTCCCAACTACGTCAACAACTCCAGGGGAACCCACTGTGAAGGTTCCTCGGCAAAACCCAGCTTATTTTCGCGAACCCCATATTTCTAAGAGGGGCACATCACATGGAACCTGCAAATAGAAGGGGGTCTTGGGCTCCCACAAAATCATTTTCAAAACCGAGGGAAACAGAACCAAACAACAACTGAGACATCCACCTGACCAGCTGAGTTGACTAGCCAGGAAAAAAGCAAACGAAAACGTGTTGGCCTCTTAGACAAAGACACCAAAAGGACAACGGGTCGCTTCGCTTGCGGCAGAGTTGCCCAGCAAAAGGAGCAACATTTGTTGGTGTGGGACCACATGCTTCAAGAGCTTTGCTCCGAAAACCCGATCGTCACAAAGGTTGCAACTCGAGTGCTGGCAAAAGGGAAGCCAAAGGAAATGATTCACCGATTCTACCCATCTGCCAAGGAGCGGCTCGACATTCAACCACTTTCTCAACATTCTCAATTTGGGTTGCCTCTTCGAAACAAAACACGCCCATATAGGCATCACATATGGG